GAAGACAGGAGTGCCTGGCATGCTCTGGTCCAGGGGGTCACGAAGAGTCAGACACAACTAAACAAAAACAAATTTAAAAAAGGGAGTGGGGGAGAGAATTTGAGTAGAAACACAAACTTCTGTTGTCGTAAAGCGGGGAGCAGTATTTATCCTTGATGTATTTTTAAAAGGTTCAATGGTAATGCACACAGGGGAGAAGCTGTGCTTCCAGAAAGGAACAAATTCTCGTGAAAGTGAATTCTTTAATTTGCCCTAAATAAAGCAAGAGGGTAGGGAACGAACAGAATGCTAGAGGGTCAAGATCCCATTTGCGAATATTTATTTCCAATTTACTGGCGGAAGAGGTGAAGGCATTTTTTTGTTTCTGAAACTTGTAAGTCCTGCAAAGAGAAATCGGCAGCATCTTCTATGTGATTAAGAGCAAAAATATGCATGTAAAATAAAACACAGTCTTCATGAGGGGTGATAAAGTGTGAAATGAACTGTGTTAAAATGTCTGCATCTGTTGCATTCAAAGACCGCGCAGGATCAAAATTAACAATTAAGGATTGCTGAATCCAGCTTGGCCACACCTAAGCTCCACAAGCTCCTTTCTTAAAATAATAATAATAATAATTTATTATTTGTACCCCACCCATCTGGCTGGGTTTCCCCAGCCACTCTGGGTGGCTTCCACAAAGACCAAAAATACACTAAGATGTTACACATTAAAAACTTCCCTGAACAGGGCTGCCTTAAGATGTCTTCTGAATGTCAGGTAGTTGTTTATCTTTTTGACATCTGCTGGAAGGGCGTTCCACAGGGCGGGCGCCACTACCGAGAAGGCCCTCTGCCTGGTTCCCTGTAGCTTTGCTTCTCGCAATGAGGAAACCGCCAGAAGGCCCTCGGAGCTGGACCTCAGTGTCCGGGCAGAACGATGGGGGTGGAGATGCTCCTTCAGGTATACTGGGCCAGGTAAAACTGGTAACAGGTAAAACTGTAGCAAATCCACAACTGTCCTGATGGCATGGCCTTTTTCATTTAAAAGAGCACCATTGCTCCCATTTCAGAAGGGACTTCGAGAGTCCTAAATGCATGCTAGCAGAGATCAGCTCTCTGTCCCTGTGGGAGGTGGTGTGTGTGTGTGTGTGTGTGTGTGTGGAAATTGGGATACTTCCCACCATCACAATCCAGGATCCCATCCCTGCTGTAGTGAAAGAGGGGAAATGGGAAAATCAGATTAAAAAAAATACCGTATTTTTCGCCCTATAGGACGCACTTTTTCCGCTCCAAAAATGAAGGGGAAATCTGGGTGCGTCCTATGGGGTGAATGCAGGCTTTTGCTGAAGCTTGGAGAGCGAGAGGGGTCGGTGCGCACCGACCCCTCTCACTCTCCAGGCTTCAGGAACACATCCACAGCCTAGGCAGCCCTACGGGAGGTCCGGCAGGGATGTCTAGGCTGCGAATAGCAGCCTGCTGCCCAGCGCGAGGGGTGCCCTGAAGCAGAGCGCCCCCTGCGCCCGGCAGACATCCGCAGCATGGGGAGCCTTGCCGGAGTTCCCCGCAGGGCTCCCCACGCTGCGGATAGCAGCCTGCTGCCCAGCGCGAGGGGCGCCCTGAAGCAGAGCGCCCCCTGCGCCAGGCAGACATCCGCAGCGTGGGGAGCCTTGCAGGAGTTCCCCGCAAGGCTCCCCATGCTGCGGATAGCAACCTGCCGCCCAGCGGGCGGGGTGCCCTGAAGCAGAGCACCCCCGCACCGGGCAGACATCCGCAGCGTGGGGAGCCTTGCAGGAGTTCCCCGCAAGGCTCCCCACGCTGTGGATAGCAGCCTGCTGCCCGGCGGGTGGGGCGCCCTGAAGCAGAGCGCCCCCTATGCCAGGCAGACATCCGCAGCGTGGGGAGCCTTGCAGGAGTTCCCCGCAGGGCTCCCCACGCTGCAGATAGCAGCCTGCCGCCCCGCGGGGGGGGGCGCCCTGATGCAGAGCGCCCCTCGCGCCGGGCAGACATCGGCCAGCCCCACAAGCTCGGGGGACAGCAGGGAGGCGCAGCGCCGCCATCCTGCTGTTCCTCGACCTGGTTCTGTTTCCCCAACTTGCTTTGGGGGGGGGAATAAAGGGAATTTTTTTTCCCTTTATTTCCCCCCCCCCAACAAACTAGGTGTGTCTTATGGGACGGAGCGTCCTATGGGACGAAAAATACGGTAAGTGTTTTATGTTGCTGATTCGGGAGCTGAGCTCACTGAATTCAAAGATGTCAATTTTGGAGGGCAAGACACATTCCCCTCCTTTCGACTGTCTAAAAAGGGGTATATTACCCTCATTTCCTAAAGGTCTGCTCTCGTAGCCTTTTTGGTGTTTTTTTCAAGTCAGACTTTTTATTGGACAAGAGCGCCTATGATAGCTCTGCAAAGGCCCAGACCAGCTTCTAGTCACAGTCTCTGAAGCTAACTAATTGAAACCGGAGTCTGTTTTTCTTTGCCTGCTCTTTCCCAGATTTCCCTTGGCAATTTATTTCTTTAAAAGCAGATGTAATCAAATTGAAAATAACACCAAGCAAGTATGGTTGATTACCCGCACCCAGGATAGAAAATGCATCTCCACGACGGGGTGAGCTCCCGTTGCTCGGTCCCTGCTCCTGCCAACCTAGCAGTTCAAAAGCATGTCAAAGTGCAAGTAGATAAATAGGTACCATTCCGGTGGGAAGGTAAACTGCATTTCCGCGCGCTGCTCTGGTTCACCAGAAGCGGCTTGGTCATGCTAGCCACATGACCTAGAAGCTGTACACCGGCTCCCTCGGCCAATAAAGCGAGATGAGCACCGCAACCCCAGAGTCGGTCACAACTGGACCTAATTGTCAGGGGTCCCTTTACCTTTACCTAGCCCCCCATCATGACCTCCCGATTTGGGGGGACCACGAAGCGCCTTTCCGCCAATGTGCAAATTGGGGTTTTCTCACCAAGTTGCAGGAGGTTCCAGCGATGTAGCTAAAGCAAAAGCTCCTTCTTTGCAAAGGAGAAAAGCCTTGCAGGATAAGAGCCTGAAAAGACCCGCCCCCTCCCCTTATCTCAAATTCCCTTCCTCTCCTGGAAACCAGTTATGGTTTATATTAACCCTTGCAAGCCCAAGCACCAGGATTCCCCCAATCCATCCCCTTCCCCTGTGCATTTCTTCCAAGACAGGTGCCAAGTGCGAAACATGCACCCTTTGAAGCAAACCTCTTGTTTATCTTGGTACGCTGAGAGCATAGAATCAGCCTGACCTGGCTACTGGCAGAGAATGGCAAGACTGAACAGGAAAATCAGGAGGATAAAAGCTTCAATAGAGAATGGGACAATTTTAGATTGTATCTAAAAGAACACTGTAAACACTCAGACTCTTTGGCAGGCTTTAAACGACTCTTGCAATGTTGCAAAGATTTTGGAAGTAATGGAAGATTGTTATTTGGATGAGTTTATAATATTTGGTGGACAAAGGTATTCTAAGAATCCACGGGGTGTGGGGTGGGGAGGGAAGTCCTAAGATTCGGAAGAATCTTGTTTTAATTTTAACAGTTGTAAGAATTTTATTTGTGTGAATGAATTTGTAAAACCAAATAAAACTTTTGCAAAACTGGCTACTGGCAGAGAAACCTCTGGCGAATACTCTCGACTTCTTCATTCTTACAGCAAATGGATTCTCCAGTGTGAAAACAGGAGCGAAACGGTGGCATAGTTTTGTTCCATATTGCAAGTACTTAAGGGGGGGGGGAAGTTTTATTATAAATATACAAAACACACATCACAAAATGCACAATATATACACGTAACAGATAATATTATTCACTGATAAAATGTGTTTCATCAATGGGAGTTACCAAATTAATCTGCACTTATACAATCTTGTTCTTGCTTTACATAGGAGTTAATATATGCAAGGTAACTCATTAATCCAATGCGCGGTCAGATCACTTTGATATCCATATTACATTGCAGTATGATACAATAATGGCTTTCCACGTTGCTCAGAGATTTCTTTCTTTTGCCTGCCTTCGCATAAATGAGTGGATCCTGTTAACATTACTGCTGAGGCTATATCCTTTTGTGGAGGAATACAAGAGAGCCTCCATTTGGTGGCTAGAACTATTCCCACTATGTGTTTAAATAAAAGATTTACTGCAATTCCAAAGGGTCCCTTCTTACTGTCAATTTATTTCAGCCACTTACACACTGCTTAACATCATAGCCTCTAAGACTGGTGTGCAGTGTAGTTGAGAAGATACAAGAAAACTAAAACTAACCATAAAATCAGAACAGCTTACTTAAACGCCAGCTTTTTAAGGTCATCACTGAGCACAGGAAGCTCAACAAAACTGATCTCAGACCCTGTTTTCCAGGGGCAGTCCCAGATTTACATTGATCCTGGAATGTCCTTAGAAAATCCCTATTTTCATCAGAGAAATGTTGGACGGTATGGAGTTATGCGACCCCCTGAGCCAAGGAGATAAGTAACTATACAACCGTTAGAAGGCAGCCCTGTATAGGGAAGTTTTTAAAAAGGTTTTATGTTTTTATATATATTGGAAGCAGCCCAGAGTGGCGGGGAATTAAGGACATTATTTTCATTGGAGAGATGTTGGAGGGTATGTGATCATAACTGGAAGTTTCACAAAATTGTCACATAGCTCCTGATGGAGATGACTGCTTTGAAGACCTCCTTGATCGGGCTGGGATATAAGGAATCAGGCAGTCCTAAGAATATACTGGACCCAGGTTCTTAATACAAGAACCTTTACCTTTTCCCAGCGGACAACCAGTGTAAGCTTTTAAACACCAAAGTTACATGCTAGCAATAGTCTGTCCCCGCCAATGAGACAACCAAGTAAAATATATACAGCCGCACCTTGGAAGTTCAACTTCCAAAACGTTCGAAAACCAAAACACAGCTTCTGATTGGCTGCAGGAAGCCGTGGGAGCCCCACTGAACGTCCGGCTTCCAAAAATAGTTCACAAATTGGAACACTCCCGGGTTTGCAGCGTTCGGGAGCCAAAACGTTCGAGAACTAAGCTGTTTGAAAACCAAGGTACGACTGTATTGCAGATACGGAACTGTCAGTATTTTTGTTCATCTGAGCTATAACGTCCCCACAGGAATAGGCGATTTTATTTTTCCATCATGTACGAATGGCGTTTGCATCATTTTCAAGAAATGGTGAGAATATTGTGACTTCTGCGGTGTGAGGTACCAGCAATACAAAACATTGTAAACACTTACTTTGGGCGGTGTGCAACGTTAGTCCTGCTCAAGAGTAGACCCATTGGAGTTAGTGGATACGATTGTGTTCATTAATTTCGGAGGGTTTACTCTGAGTAGGACTTAGCTGAATGCAACTCTTTGAGATTAACAGAGAGATGTTTGGACCATTGCCAGTATAAATATGTATATTTCCAATGAGGAGACTAAAGACACGTCTCACACAGAAGGGCATCTCTGGAAGACATTTCCTGCCTATAACGTCACTACCAGTCAACGAAGACAATATTGAGCTAGATGGATCAATGCTCTAACTTGGTATAAAGTAGCTTCCTAGGGAAAAATAAATCTGCTTAAAATTTACCCACCAATTCAGCTATTGATTTAATTCTCTGATATGTCAGCAAAAATTGCAAGCTCACTTCTGGACCACCGTGTTTTGTCACCAACTAACTGGAAACAAAGATTGCTTGAGAACTTTAATAAGACAACATATTTACAGATCTCTGCCATGGCTGCAAAACAGCTTCAGTCAAACACAATCCGTTCCAGAAGCCCATTCGGCTTCTGAAATGTTCTGACAACCAAGGCGCGGCTTCTGATTGGTTGCAGGCTGCGTTAGACATTCAGCTTCTGAAAAACGTTCCAAAACTGAAGCATTTAGTTCTGAGTTTTTGTCATTCGGGAGCCGAAATGTTCAGAAACAGAGGCGTTCAGGATCCAAGGTTTAACTGTATTATACTCGAGTTTGACTTCAGAGTGAAATTTATCTCTCTCGAATTCCTTTTCATATGTCCACGGTAAGGATTTCAAAGGAATCCTGGAACAGCTCATCTCCAAGCTCTTGCACGATTTCCCCCGAGTGAGATTTTTGTGTGTGACAAGTGAGATGTACTTTCCGAGTGAAGCTCTTTCCACACTCCAAGCACTGATACGGTTTCTCCCCAGTGTGGATTCTCTGATGACAGCGGAAGTTTGTGCTCCTATTGAAGCTCTTTCCACATTCCAAGCATTGGTACGGTTTCTCCCCGGTGTGAATTCTCTGATGACAAGCAAGGTCTTTGTTCAAGCGAAAGTTCTTCCCGCATTCCAAACACTGATACGGCTTCTCCCCCGTGTGGATTCTTTGATGGCAAGTGAGGTCTTTGTTCAGAATGAAGCACTTTCCACAGTCCAAACATTTATAGGGTTTCTCCCCCGTGTGAATCCGATGATGAGACGTGAGATATTTCTTCTGGCTGAAGCTCTTTCCACACACCAAGCACTGGTAGGGTTTCTCGCCTGTGTGGATTCTCTGATGACCGCGGAGGTTTGTGCTTCGAGTAAAAGTCTTTCCGCACTCCGTGCACTGGAACGGCTTCTCCCCCGTGTGAATGATCTGGTGATAAGCAAGGTCTCTGTTCAGACTGAAGCTCTTTCCGCATTCCAAACATTTGTATGGTTTCTCCCCATTGTGGCTTCTCTGATGGTTTGTGAGACTTGCACTCAGTCTGAAGCTCTTTCCGCACTCCAAGCATTTATACGGCAGCTGTCCGGCGTGCGTTTTGCTCTTCTTGCATCTGTCTCTTTCCGATGACACCTTTGGGAGTCGGTCACGATTATGCTGAGTTTCCCATTCGCCGCCTGCTGTAATGAAGACAGGGAAAGTGATAAGAGCTTGGGGAAGAAATTGAGCCTCCATTCACCAAGCAAACAAAATGACACTTTGGAATAAAGGTCATTGCAATATACGGAAGGCAATTTTTCACACATTCTCTTGACTGGCATTTACTGGCAACTGGCATATATTGCAGGATGATAGTCTAGATGACACTGGGGGTCCCTTCCAATTCTATGATTGTAATTTGTTGTTGGGGGGCTATTGGGTTGTTGTTTTTATTTTTATTATGTATTTTGTGGTTTTATATCTTGATTTTATTCTGTGGACCGCCCTGAGACCCCTGGGTATAGGGCAGTATATTATTAATAATAATAATAATAATAATAATAATAATAATAATAATGTTGAATCCCCTCCAATGCAGGGATCTTTTTGCCCAGTGTGGGGCTTGAACCCACAAGCCATTAGATTAAGAATCTCAGGTTCTACCAACACAGAGAACTGTCCTCATGATGTTTATGGAGCCTGTGTGGTGTAGTGTAATGGTTAGAGCACTGGACTCCAAGCCTCCCGAAATTCCCTGCAACTGGTATGCTATAAACCTAAGAACTGAAACTATTTACAGAACTATATGGAACAACCTTACATTTACAGAGCAAAATATCCTCTTGAATTATATACCCAGCACATGGAACCTTACGAAAGGACAATACGAGTGGACTCTCCCTGCCCTGATTACAGCAAAAAGACTGATACTGATGAATTGGAAAAATAAAAATGCGGCTCCCTTCTGCGATTGGATTGAAGACTTATACAAACTCGCAGCATATTTACAACTTGCATATAAACGCAGACTTGCCATGGGCAAATTCAATGATATTTGGAATTTATTCTTACAAATGCAGTGGTACCTCGGGTTACAGACGCTTCAAGTTACATACGCTTCAGGTTACAGATTCCGCTAACCCAGAAATAGTACCTCGGGTTAAGAACTTTGCTTCAGGATGAGAACAGAAATTGTTATCTGGCGGTACAGCGGCGGCAGCAGGAGGCCCCATTAGCTAAAGTGGTGCTTCAGGTTAAGAACAGTTTCAGGTTAAGAACGGACCTCTGAAACGAACTAAGTACTTAACCCAAGGTACCACTGTACTGTAATAGGTCTAAGATCTGGTGAAGTACATTAACGACCTGGTAAAATATACAGTTTGGGGTTATTTCACCTCCCCCCTTTATTTTCCCGTCTGCTTCTCTTCTTTTCCCCCCTCCCTTTTATTTACGTCTCACCATGTTTAGTGCACGTATAATTATGTACTTTTTGAATGTTCAATAAAGATGTTTTTTAAAAAACCAAAAAATACATATATAAAGAGCCTGCTGGACCCAGCATCTTGTTCTCACAGTGGCCAAAGGATGCCTGTCGGAAGCCCGCGAACAGGACCTGAGGAAAGGGCACTCTCGCCTTGCAGAGTTTCTAGCAACCGGTTTGTGAGTGCCTGGAGGCGGTTGGAGGATGGATGGCAGCTAACAGATTGAGGTTGAATCCTGACAAGACAGAGGTACTGTTTTTGGGGGACAAGGAGCGGGTTGGTGTGGGGGATTCCCTGGTCTTGAATGGGGTAACTGTGCCCCTGAAGGACCAGGTGCGCAGCCTGGGAGTCATTTTGGACTCACAGCTGTCCATGGAGGCGCAGGTTAACTCTGTGTCCAGGGCAGCTGTCTACCAGCTCCACCTGGTACGCAGGCTAAGACCCTACCTGCCCGCGAACTGTCTCGCCAGAGTGGTGCATGCTCTAGTTATCTCACGCTTGGACTACTGCAATGCGCTCTACGTGGGGCTACCTTTGAAGGTGACTCGGAAACTGCAATTAATCCAGAATGCGGCAGCTAGACTGGTGACTGGGAGTCGCCGCCGGGACCACATAACACCGGTTCTGAGAGATCTGCATTGGCTCCCAGTATGTTTCCGAGCACGATTCAAAGTGTTGGTGCTGACCTTTAAAGCCCTAAACGGCCTTGGTCCAGTATATCTGAAGGAGCGTCTCCACCACCATCGTTCAGCTCTGATATTGTACTACTCTCTCCACGCTGTGGAGGCCAAGCATTGCCATAATGGCAGTCTTCTCTATGAATGTTGGACCTGGATGAAGTCTGTCAGAGACCTGGGTTCAGCTCCCAGCTCAGACAGCATGCAGAGCCGAGGCTGTTTTTAAATGCTTCCCTCAAAAAGATAAGCTTGCAGTCGCTGAATTTAATGTGACTTACTTCTGAGTAGACACGGTTAGAACCGCACTACCCAAAATATGGTTGGAGTGTGGAAATGTGCAAAAGAAATTACGCGTTCCTTATTTTCCCAGCCAGGGAAATAGGGGGCCTTACCAAAAGAGGCCACCATCCCATAATTCTCCTCCATAACTTCCCTGTGTAGAGCTTTCTGGTCAGGATCCAGCAGAGGCAACTCCTCCTCTGTGAAAAACACAGCCACCTCCTCAAATGACACTGGACCCTGAAAAAAGAGAGAGAGAGAAATGTTTGCTGCTTTATAGATCACATAAAAGATGATCTACTAGCTGAATCCAAAAGGCTCACCCAGGAAAGGCAGCTGGATATTATCTTGCATAATTTGGGGGTGGGGAGAGACATTTGCAGCCTTCCTAGCCGTGGAGACTGGTCTATTTTGGAAAATGGGGCGCTGCCCTCCCCAACAATCCCAGTCTCTCCTGCCTTGGTTAGTTAAAACTGAGGCGGAATAGCAAATTGACCTCCTCCTCCTCCTTAGTCCCAATGTTCCCCCTTACAGGACTTAGCAGGGAGGAGGAAGAATTAGTTGCAGCTGCCTGTTATTGACTCTGCCGTCACCTGCTGTTGGGCTCCCTGATTTCTACCCCAAATATATAGTTTTCAATTTAACAACAAGAGTCTCCTTTACATTTGTATCTTTCATTTCGACTTCCCTCCACTCCTTCTCTGGTTACATAGTGAATTCGTTTAATTAAACTGTACCTCCCCCATAACATCTTTTAGATAGATAGATGATAGTGTTAGAATTCCTGCTCCATGATTGCAGTCATGGGATTGTTGTTTTTCACATGACAACATGTGGTACCTCGGGTTAAGTACTTAATTCATTCCGGAGGTCTGTTCTTAACCTGATACTGTTCTTAACCTGAAGCACCACTTTAGCTAATGGGGCCTCCTGCTGCTGCCGCGCCACCGGAGCACGATTTCTGTTCTCATCCTGAAGCCAAGTTCTTAACCCGAGGTACAATTTCTGGGTTAGCGGAGTCTGTAACCTGAAGCGTCTGTAACCTGAAGTGTATGTAACCCAAGGTACCACTGTATATGTTTTGACTCCACAGAATGGGAAGTGACGGAGACAGGGTGTTTGTGTTACTGTCTTCCGTGAAGTGGGACTATTGGCCTTTGTTCTTTTTCTCTTTGCTGTCTGATGCTAGAGAGAGAGGGAGCCATGTTGCAGTGCTCCGTGTGTGTTTATATGTAAATAAAGTAGATTAGCCAAAATGCTGAGTTGCTGAGGTCTGTCACGAAAGTTGCACAAACTCTGCCGATCCCTAAGTGTGCCGGTGTCGGTTGGCATCAGTCGCTGTGATGTTCGGGCAGAAGAAAGCTTTTGAAGCTCCCAAACGAACGACCAGGAGGGAGAGAACATGCCAGTCGGGCATGTGTCTCTGCCAGGGTCCTACTCGAGTGTAGGCTGAACTCCTGACAAATAGATGGATAGATAGATAGATCTTCTTTCCCCCCAACTGCTTGATTTTATATTAATCCTGCTAATGTATTTAGTTGTTTACAATGATTCTTTTAAAAAAATATGTGTAACATCCCCATTCTTTAATAAAAACACTTTTTTCTTGATTAATAATAATAATAATAATAATAATAATAATAATAATAATAATAATAATAATTTATTATTCATACCCTGCCCATCTGGCTGGGTTTCCCCAGCCACTCTGGGCGGCTTCCAACAGAGTATTAAAATACAATAGTCTATTAAACATTAAAAACTTGCCTAAACAGGGCTGCCTTCAGATGATTTCTTATCAAGTTTTGCCATTTCTGCATATTCCATTAATTTTGGCTGCCATTCTTGGTAGGGACAGTATCTTGCTTCCATCTCTGCGCATAAAGCATCCTGGCTGCTGTGCTTGCATACATAAGTACAGTGGTACCTCGGATTAAGAATTTAATTCATTCTGGAGGTCAGTTCTTAACCTGAAACTGTTCTTAACCTGAGGTACCACTTTAGCTAATGGGGCCTCCTGCTGCCGCTTCTGTTCTCATCCTGAAGCAAAGTTCTTAAGCCGAGGTACTATGTCTGGGTTAGCGGAGTCTGTAACCTGAAGCATCTGTAACCCGAGGTACCACTGTAGTTTCTTCCGGTCTTTTGCTATATCCTCTCCTATTATCCCTCAGAAAAAGGCTTCTGGGTTTTTTTTAAATTAAGGTTGCCTTCAACCCCCACCCACCAGTCCCAAGGGGTACCAGCAACCACTGCTTCCTAGTCTGCAGTTTTGACTGAAGCAAAGACTCATAGAATTGTAGAATTGGAAGGGAACCCGCAGGTCATCTAGTCCAACCCCCTGCAACACAGGAATCTTTTTGCCCAACGTGGGGCTTGAACCCACAACCCTGAGATTCAGTTACAGATAGGTAGCCGTATTGGTCTGCCATAGTCAAAATAAAAGAATTCCTTCCAGTAGCACCTTAAAGACCAACTAAGTTAGTTCTTGGTATGAGCTTTCGTGTGCATGCACACTTCTTCAGATACACAGATACACAGATACTTCAGTGTATCTGAAGAAGTGTGCATGCACACGAAAGCTCATACCAAGAACTAACTTAGTTGGTCTTTAAGGTGCTACTGGAAGGAATTTTTTTATTTTAACCCTGAGATTAAAAGTCTTGTGCTCTACTGACTGAAATATGCAGGTAAAAAGAAAAAAGAGGTTCATTCTAGGCCTAAGGAGGCAAGAGGGGTGGGACAGACGCAGCCAGCGATATTTCTCCATACCGGCTCAGCTCCTGTGTCTGCTGCTTCTCCTCCAGGACACAGAAGAGTTGACCGAGGAAGCATTTCTGGTATCGCTCCAGTGCCTGTCAGAGACAAAGATGAAAGGAGGTCGGTAGGAGGTGCTCGTCTCAGTTACAATGCGCATCTAAGTTACCGTATTTTTCGCTCCATAAGACGCACTTTATTCCTCTTGAAAACTAAGGGGAAATGTCTGTGCGTCTTATGGAGTGAATGTGTGGTCCCTGGAGCTAAATTGCAGGAGTGCGGCACGCTCCTGAGCTGCTCTTTGGGGCTGGCGGGGGAAACCCCAGGTGCCGACAGAGCAACCGGGACTCCCCCCGCCAGCCTCCACAGGGCAGCAGGGAGCCTTCATCCCACTGCCCTGTGGAGGCTTTGCACGGCTATCCCTGGCTTTTGCGGGAGGTGGGGGAAGGGACAGAGCACGCGGCTCTGTCCCTTCCCCCACCTCCCAGAAAAGCCCCCAAGAGCCGCGCTCCCTTTAAAGAGTGTGCGGCTCTTGCGGGAGGAAAGCCAGCAGGCTTGCTTTCACTGAAGCCAGGAGGGCAAGCGGGATCGGTGCACAGGGATAGCCCAGCAAAGCTCCTGAGCAAAGATGGAGGAGCGCTCCCTCTTAGCCCGAGATGCTTTGCGTTGCTTTCTTATTTCTTGTTTTCCTCCCCTAAAAACTAGGTGCGTCTTATGGTCCGGTGTGTCTAATAGAGCAAAAAATACCGTGCTTGTGGGTGCTACAAAAAATATTTAGCTGCTGCATGCATTTCTGGATATTTATACCCATTTTACAGGTCGGTGGTGTGGAAACAACTCTCTCCCCATCTGGGCTCTTGGACACAAACATACCAAGCTTTTCAGGATTGTGTCATTGAAAAAGAAATTAAAAAAGATGAAAGCAGCCCACAGATTTACAGTCGTACCTTGGAAGCCGAACAGCTTAGTTCCCAAACGTTTTGGCTCCCAAACGTCACAAACCCGGAAGTCACTGTTCCGGTTTGCGAACTATTTTTGGAAGCCGAACGTCCCGACGGGGCTTCCAATTGGCTGCAGGAACTTTCTGCAGCCAATCAGAAGCCGCGTTTTGGTATTCAAATGTTTTGGAAGCTGAACAGATTTCCGGAACGAATTCCGTTTGACTTCCAAGGTACGACTGTATTGTATAATCAATAGAGGCAAGTCCACCTCCTTCTCCCTTACCCAGTGATCTCTGCCCGGTGCCCAACAGAATCCTCTCCGCCTCAAAGAAATCAGGAACTGCTTGACCAAGAAGAACTTTGACCTGAAAGAGGAAAGTGTATTCAAACAGAGAATGGGGAGAAGGATTGCAAAAGGAATGGCAGAAGCCAAAGCTTGGGGGTGCTGGCTATTGGATAATTTCTAGGGAAAGCTGGGGAATCAGTCGAGTTCTTAAGGATTCTCAGCACCTTGGAACTGCCAGGATGAAACCCTCTCACCTGTTGCTCTAACTGTTTCTTCTCCTCCGCTTGACTCAGAAGGAAACCTTCAGCCAGGGCCACTGCCTGGGAACTGGTCTCCACTCCACATTCCCTGACCCAGTTCTCCATCTCCGGGGGGAGGACAGCCAGGAACTGCTCCAAGATCACCAGGTCCAGGATCTGAGTCTTGGTATACTGCCCTGGCTTTAGCCAACGACAGCAGAAATCGTGGAGTCGGCTGCAAACCTCTCGGGGTCCCTCGGCCTCCTGGTAGCAGAACTGCCTGAAGCGCCGGCGTTGTACGTCCGAGCTGAGGGTCTCCTCCTCATCCATGTTTTTAGGCAGTGTTCTTTCCCAGAATTCCCCACTGATAAGGGGGCCTTTTCCTGCTCTGCGAGCAGCTGAGTCTTCTTCTCCCATTGTTGATCTGTGCTCCAAGGAAGCCTCCACGAAGGCTGAATGGTGAAATCTGCCTTCTTCTGCCAATGCCTGTCTCCAGGCAAAGACAGACAGAATTGGAGGTTCCACCACGTCCTGCCAAGCCAAAATATTTGTTTACACAAATTGTTGGAAAAGAAAGACTTATGTGGATGACTCCAGCCAGCAATCAAGTTTCATTCTAGCAGAGAAAGCAAAACTCGAAGAGAAGCTAGAGATTGGAAGAGGAGGCTGCTGTGTCTCAAGGCCACAAACCAAAACCTTCAATCTGGTTGTGGGTGAGAAGATGCAGCATCTCTCCTAGTCACACTGCATGATCAAGTATTTATTCTTTCCTTTTCTTGCTGTTCCTCTTAAGTCCCCAGCCCTCTTTTGCCGTCGTCCCTCCCCCAGAACCTCATGGAAACATAAAAAGTCAAGTCAGACTTTTAGAAGACATCTGAAGGCAGCCCTGTTTAGGGAAGCTTTTAATGTCTGATGTATTACAGTATTTTAATATTTTTTTGGAAGCCGCCTAGAGTGGCAGGGGAAGCCCAGCCAGATGGGCAGGGTATAAATAATGAATAATAAATTATTATTATTATTATTCTGTACCATGACATGGGCAGGTTTGCAACAGTGTAAAAAAACACAACGCTAAAAATCAGTTAAAACAATTTATGAGCTGAAGAATAGGGTTGATTGTTAATATACTGATAGATATAATCTGACATATACCAGGTGCCAATGGCCTAGACCAGCCTTTCTCAACCTTGGGTCCCCAGATGTTGTTGAACTACAACTCCCATCACCCCTAGCTAGCAAGGCCAGAGCTCACGGATTATGGGTGTGGTAGTCCAACAATACGTGGGGACCCACAGGTTGAGAACCGCTGGCCTAGAGTAAAGGAGACACATGGGTGGGCCAAGGAGAAAGGAAAGAAGCTCCCCCCATCTTCCTTTGCAGTTGCTGATGGGGAGGGGTGGTGGATGGGCCAGGTGCTCAGATCACCTCCCTATGGGGTGAAATGAGGGGTGTCCTCTGAATTCCTCTGCATTTCTCTTCTCTGCATTCTCCACCCCCCCCCCCCACATAACTTTTGGGTGTAATTGTTATTATTATTAAACAAACTTGTATAACGCCCTATACCCGCAGGTCTCTTATATTTTATCGTAATATAAAAACACAAAATAGATTACAGTGGTACCTCGGGTTAAGAACTTAATTCGTTCCGGAGGTCCGTTCTTAACCTGAAACTGTTCTTAACCTCAGCTACCACTTTAGCTAATGGGGCCTCCTGCTGCCGCCGCCACGTGATTTCTGTTCTCAACCTGAAGCAAAGGTCTTAACCCGAGGTACTATTTCTGGGTTAGCGGAGTCTGTAACCTGAAGTATCTGTAACCTGAAGGTAACCCGAGGTAAAGGTAAAGGGTAAAGAGACCCGACCATTAGGTCCAATAGTGGCCGACTCTGGGGTTGTGGCGCTCATCTCGCTTTATTGGCTGAGGGAGCCAGTGTGCAGCTCTGTGGCTAGCATGGCTAAGCCGCTTCTGGCGAAACCAGAGCCGCGCACAGAAACGCCGTTTACCTTCCCGCCGGAGTGGTACCTATTTATCTACTTGCACTTTGACGTGCTTTCGAACTGCTAAGTTGGCAGGAGCAGGGACCGAGCAACGGGAGTTCACCCCGTCGCAGGGATTCGAACCGCTGACCTTTTGATCGGCAAGTCCTAGGCTCTGTGGTTTAACCCACAGCGCCACCCGTGTCCCTTAACCCGAGGTACCACTGCATTATTTATTAAATTTATACCCAGGGGGTTTCAGGGTGGTTCACAGAACAAAATCGAGATATAAAACCACAAAATACCTAATAAAAATAAAAACAACAACAACACAATGAAACAGAAACAAACCCGCCCCAATAACCTCCCTCCCCAGAACATTTTAAAATAACATTGAATGTCAATACAGAGGGGAATGTCAGTGCCACCCCACACCTCCCTATAGGGGGACATGCAGAGGGGTCTGTCTCATGTCAATGCCCACTTCCCTATGGGAATAAAGGGGGCGCCTCCCGTACCCCACGCCTCCCTATAGGGTGAAGCCATCCATCCCTGGACCCCCAACCAGCGGATTCCTCCACCCCCTTAACCCCCACCTGCCCCGCATCCCTCCAAAGCCCAAGGGGGGAGAGAGGGGGCCAGAGCAGGGCGACCCACCAGAGCCAAGCCCGGCAGGGAGGCGCCCAGGCAGCCCTCGGGGAAGACAAAAGCCATTTCCCCCCTCCGGGAGGAGAAGGAGTGGGAAGGCAGGAAGGAGCACCGCCAGGAGGCGCCCTTGCACCCCCCGCGAGCGCCGCCCTTTCCTCTCTCTACACCCGGAAGAAGCTGCCTTCCGCTCTAGGAATCTGGCTCCGCTTGTTTCCCTTAACCCTTAGACGCCCACGCGATGCTGCCTGCCTCCCAGTAGGAGCAAAGAAAGCACACGCGGGGGGTGGGGGCTTATTCTTTAGCCCAAACGCTGATCTTAAATATGATTTATTTATTTATATATTTATTATTATTCCGCGCCCTTCTGGGGTATAATAATAATATTATACCCAGCCATTACTGTATTATTATCTGGGTACGTATAATAGTAATAATAATAATAATAATAATAATAATAAGAAGAAGAAGAAGAAGAAGAAGAAGAAGAAGAATAGTATACTCCAGCTGTTGTTGTTATGATTATGATTATTATTTCCTGCTCATCTGGATACATATAATAATAATATTATACTCCAGTCACCATCATCATTATTATTATTTCCCCAGCCACTCTGGGCGGCTTACAGGACATATAAAACATAATAAAGCACCAAACATTAAAAACTTCCCAATACAGGTGTCTTCTAAGAGTTTATGTAGTCCTAAATTGCATACCCTACAACATTTCTCCGATGAAAATAAGGACATCCCATTCCATAATAAGTTTACTATTTATGTCCCAGCCACTCTGGGCGGTTTCCAACATATATAAAAACATTATAAAACATTATACATTTTTTAAAATAAAAAAAACCTTCCCTATACAGGATTGACTTCAGACGGCTCGGGGGTCAGATTACTCCATACCCCCCGACGTTTCTCCAATGAAAATATGGACGTCCTAAGGAAAAGTGGGACATTCCGGGATCAGATTAGAGACCGGCATGGGCTTCTCTAAATCAGGGACGTCCCTGAGACACTTGAAGGGGCGGAAATTATAATGTGTATTGGTGGGTTTTTTTGGGTGGGGTGGGGAGAGTCTCTCCTGGGGGCTCTGGGTAGTATTCAACTTGGTCCTACTCAGAATTTTTGTTCTTATTTTATTATGTGTTTGTGCTTTTTATATGGTAACTTTCTCATGGAATCATAGTTGGAAGGACCCCAAGGGTCATCTAGTCCAGCCCCCTGCAATGCAGGAATCTCAACTAGAGCATCCATGACAGATGGCCAGCCAAACTCTGCTTATAAACCTCCAACATTGTGAACTGCCCTGAGATCTACAGATGAAGGGGGATATACAAATTTTAACAACAGCCTTGCAGAGCCAGTGTGGTGTGGTGGTTATCAAGTGCTGGACTAGGACCTGGGAGACCCTGGATCAGATCCCCTTAACTCAGTCATGAATGAAGCTCCCTGAGTGATCTTGGGCCAGTCCCTGCTGATATTCAGGGTTAGGAGACAGAAATTTTATATATATATATATATATATATATATATATATATATATTTGCTTTCGGTTTTGGTGTCCTCGGGTGTCTTCCCGTGTAAAAGTTGGGGTGTCTAGGCGACGTTTCGACGAGGTCTCACTCGTCATCTTCAGGCTGGTGCTTTCGGCTTCTTGTTACTGGAACAGAGCTCTGTTCCAGTAACAAGAAGCCGAAAGCACCAGCCTGAAGATGACGAGTGAGACCTCGTCGAAACGTCGCCTAGACACCCCAACTTTTACACGGGAAGACACCCGAGGACACCAAAACCTGCATTCCTGTACCCGTGAAAATCTACGAAAGCAAAAATATATATATATATATATATACACACACACACACACACACACACACACGCCTGTTGTATTTGTCCATGGAGTTTTCTTGGCAGGGATACTGAAGTGGCTTGCCGGTTCCTGTTGCAGGTGGATCACATTTGGTCAAAACTCTCCACTATGACCTGTCCATCTTGGGTGGCCCTGCACGGCATAGCTCATAGATTCTCTGAGTTATTCAAGCCCCTTCGCCATGGCAAGGCAGTGATCCATGAAGGAGAATTTACTTTCTTGGGCTCCATAATCACTGCAGATGGTGACAGCAGTCATGAAATTAAAAGACCCCTGCTTCTTGGGAGAAAAGCAACGACAAACCTAGACAGCATCTTAAAAAGCAGAGACATCACCTTGCCAACAAAGGTCCGTATAGTTAAAGCTATGGTTTTCCCAGTAGCGATGTATGGAAGTGAGAGCTGGACCATAAAGAAGGCTGATGGCCGAAGAATGGATGCTTTTGAATTATGGTGCTGGAGGAGACTCTTGAGAGTCCCATGGACTGCAAGAAGATCAAACCTATCCATTCGGAAGGAAATCAGCCCGGAGTGCTCACTGGAAGGACAGATCGTGAAGCTGAGGCTCCAATACTTTGGCCACCTCATGAGAAGAGAAGACTCCCTGGAAAAGACCCTGATGTTGGGAAAGATGGAGGGCCCAAGGAGAAGGGGACGACAGAGGACGAGATGGTTGGACAGTGTTCTGGAAGCGACCAGCATGAGTTTGACCAAACTGCGGGAGGCAGTGGAAGACAGGAGGGCCTGGCGTGCTCTGGTCCATGGGGTCACGAAGAGTCGGACACGACTAAACGACAAAACAACAAGCTGGGATAGGAAGTGTGTGTGTGTGTGTGTGTGTGTGTGTGTGTATAAAAACACAATTCCTATCCCACCTTTCAAGTCTTCATGCAACACCCAGGATACCTCTTTTCTTTTAATTGCAATATGCATTTTCTTCTCTGCAATCCATTTATAAAGATAAATGAAGCATTTATTTGATGTGCAACACGGAAACATTTGAAAGCACCAGCTTACAAATATCAGTAGTATAAGAGCATCATCTGCTTACGATCCAAGAGCAAAACAGAAAAGGAAACAGGATGGAAAGGAAATCGGAGAAGGGAGCCCAGGAAGCTGTTTCTTATCACTGAATAATAGTAATGACCAGCTCAAACAGAGGAACCCAAAATCGCTCTCCAATGGAGAAGCCCTGCTTCCACTGTAGCTTGATGGATCAGCTGTAGATAGATGCCAGTTTAGGGAATCATAGAAATCATAGGATTGTAGGGTAAGAAGGGACCCTGAAGATCATCTAGTCCTGCAATGCAGGAATATGCAGTTGCCCCATTCACGGCTCGAACCTGCAACTATGGTGTTATCAGCACCAACTGAGCTATCCAGGATGAGCCTGGCGATAACGGCAGGCTCTCCATTCTTCTTACGCCTTTCTTTGCAACCTTTGGAACGTAGAGAAAGCGACATGGGTGCCACTCTAAAATGGCTGCTCTCTTGGGCATAGCCAATCACAGAATGGCTGCCATATGCTGTCTCAAAATGCCAGTATCTAGTAAATCGGTAAAGGAAAACCAGTAACTTACCCCAGTGGGTAAAGGTAAAGGTAAAGGGACCCCTGACCATTAGGTCCAGTTGTGGCCGACTCTGGGGTTGCGGCACTCATCTCAATTTATTGGCCAAGGGAGCCGGCATACAGCTTCCGGGTCATGTGGCCAGCATGACTAAGCCACTTCTGGCAAACCAGAGCAGCGCATGGAAATGCCGTTTACCTTCCCACCAGAGTGGTACCTATTTATCTACTTGCACTTTGACGTGCTTTCGAACTGCTAGGTGGGCAGGAGCAGGGACCGAGCAACGGGAGTGAACCGCTGACCTTCTGATCAGCAAGTCCTAGGCTCTGTGGTTTAAACCCACAGCGCCACCCGCGCCCCACCCCAGTGGGTAGAGAACCCTTTTTTCTGCCTGGGGGACCAGATAGCTCCACACTTCACCCCACCGACCTGAGCCAACTTCTGACTTGTGGGCGAGCCCACCCACCTGTCAATCATTTGCTGTCATTGTTCACCTGTCCAAAGCTAGTCTATGTGGCTGGGGAGCAGGACTGATCAATCCTGCTTAGCGCTGGGCTCTGAAGCACGGAAAAGCTCCCTGTAGAGATCACTCGCACACCTAAATCAGGTGGAATGAAGCTCCCTCCTTCCCACAAGCTGATTTAAGAGATCTGTCCTAGGCCCAGTTGCGTAAGAGAGTCCTCTGCAGTGAACTTTCTCATGGCCTGACATGCCAGACATGCCAGCCAGCCAGGTTCAACACCTTCTCTATCTTCAATACAGACATTCAAGGGGCATTGTTGGAGTTGAATGACACATTCCAGGCAGGCAGAAACAGAAGAGTCATTGGGGGGCAGGGGCTGGGGAGGGGGGCCCTGGTGTGGGGCAGGTGCCAAGCGCAGAGTAGAGTGGCCTGATGTTGCCCACCCCCGATTTATACAATTTCTCCCGAAAGTGAACTTTCTGATGGCAAGAAAAGGTTGAATGGTGAACGAAGCTCTTTCCGCACTTTGGGCATTGATAAGGTTTCTTCCCCAAATGAGTTCTCTGGTGAAAAGTGAGCTGGGACTTCTGGCCAAAGCTCTTTCCACACTCCGAGCACTGATACGGTTTCTCCCCTGTGTGGATTCTCTGATGTTCAGTGAGACTTCCCTTTTGGATGAACTTCCGGCCGCACACGAAGCACTGATACGGCTTCTCTGACGTGTGGATGGTTTGGTGGGTCGTGTGGTCCAAACGATGGCGGAAGTGCTTTCCATGCGCTGTGGAGTGAAGAGAGGGAAAAGGTAAGAGAGCCCAAAACATATGTTGTACACAAAACATATGTTGGAAGTGTAAAGAGAAGGAAGGCATATTCTACCACATGTGGTGGGTGTGCTTTCATTTCTGTATATACTGTGTGTTTATAGTCTTTGTAACGAGCGCAAAATACGGTCTGAAGCTCAACATCAAAAAAACGAAGATCATGGCCACTGGGCCCATCACCTCCTGGCAAATAAGAAGGGGAAGAAATGAAGGCAGTGAGAGATTTTACTTTCTTGGGCTCCATGATCACTGCAGATGGTGACAGCAGCCACAAAATTAAAAGACGCCTGCTTCTTGGGAGAAAGCAATGACAAACCTAGACAGAATCCTGAAAAGCAGAGACATCACCTTGCCAACAAAGGTCCGTATAGTTATTGTTAGGATATTTCCATTCCACCTTAAAAGGGAGCAGGCTTTGTGAGTCACAGAGTCTGCGCATGTCCTATTAACAGGATGTTTATGTTTGCTGTTCCTTTCGATTTCTCAGTCGGTCTGAGACACTGGCTCAGAACGGTCATGTTTTCCTTTGTTCTGTTCAACGCTAAATAAAGTCTGTAAATATGCTCTTCTGCGGTGCAGCTTTCTGGCTGTGTTTTTCTGCTGATAAAGAGTGTGCACGAGCCTGAGATGGCAGTCTATCTCTGAGGCTTCGTGTCGCTAATTGCTGGATCTGCATGACTACGGGAGATCGATGGATGTCCGGCAGATGGCTTGGGGCCATGGTGGACTATATCTCCCTGGCAGTATTCCCAACAGTTATAGCTATGGTTTTCCCAGTAGTGATGTATCGAAGTGAGAGCTGGACCATAAAGAAGGCTGATGGCCGAAGAATGGATGCTTTTGAATTATGGTGCTGGAGGAGACTCTTGAGAGTCCCATGAACTGCAAGAAGATCAAACCTATCCATTTGGAAGGAAATCAGCCCTGAGTGCTCACTGGAAGGACAGATCGTGAAGCTGAGGCTCCAAGACTTTGGCCACCTCATGAGAAGAGAAGACTCCCAAACTGTGGGAGGCAGTGGAAGACAGGAGTGCCTGGCGTGCTCTGGTCCATGCGGTCACGAAGAGTCGGACACGACTAAACGACCAAACAACAACAAACGAGGTCTTGTTCTCTTATGCTATATGTTAAGTCTGCAAGCTGCGCATATTCTGTCAGCTTAAGTTGCCATTCTTCTTTGGTTGGGACTTGGCTCGTTTTCCATTTTTTGGCTAACAAAACACAGGCCGCCATAGTGGCATACCTTTTTGGACACCTTTTTGGACACCTGGGAATGTCAGTCTGAATTATCCCCAACAAAAAGAACTCTGTTTTTTTGGGGAAAGGACTTTTAAACATTTGTTTCAATTCAATATGGATCATTTCCCAATACTCTTTTACCCTTTCACAAGTCCACCACATATGAACGTTCCCTCCACCTCTTTGCATCTCCAGCACTTATCTGATTCAGCCTTATAGATCTTAGTAAGCCTACTCAGAGTTAAATACCATCTGTAAATCATTTTCAGGTAGATCTCCTTCAAAGAATAACACACTGTAAACTTCAAATCGCTTTTCCAAAGTTTTCTTCAGAGGTTAAAATCTATATTGTGAGGACGGCAGCTCTTCACCTCGGAGCGAGGGAAACGATGGAGCCTTACCTAGAGAGGTGACCACCAGGCAATTGTCTTCCATGACTTCGCTATGCAGAGCTCTCTGGTCAGGATCCAGCAAAGACCACTCCTCTTCTGCAAAGAACACGGCCACATCTTCAAAGGACACAGGGCACTGATAACAAATTAAAGAAGATGTTTTATTATTAACATATCATTCGTTTATAGCCTATTATTGACATTTTTGTTAGATTTTCAAATTAACATTTTTTATTAGCTTTTCAAATTTTACAAATTCTTTTAGACAACCATCGAAACATATATCTTATTATCTGTTGACTTCCCATCCACTTTTCCATAGTGTTCTTTTCTTGCCTTATAAAGATGCTTTATTACTTATATTTTACCCATTACAGTGGTACCTTGGTAGTTGAATAGCTTGGCTCCCGAACAAATTTGCTCCCAAACGCCGCAGACCTGGACAGGAATGTTTCGGTTTGCAAATGTTTCTCAGAAGCTGAACGTCCTACGCGGCTTCCAATTGAGTGCAGGAAGCTCCTGCAGCCAATCGGAAATCGTGACTTGGTTTTCGAACAGTTTCAGGAGTCGAACAGACTCCTGGAAGGGATTAAATTCAAGAACCAAGATACCACTGTATATATGTTAACCATAGATGATTAAACTACCACTTCTCATTCATTGCAATACTTCAAATCCTCAATACATTTTAACATCACCATGATTATTTTTTTCAAATATTCTACAAAATATTTCAATTCTTCAAGAAATTTTTCTTCATTCTGTACTTTAATTCTCAGTTAGTCTAGCCATTTCAGCATATTCAATCACCTTCATAAGTCATTCTTCTTTCGTCGGGATTTCCTCTCCATTTTCACACTCAGACTATTCTGGCCACCGCCATAGCATGCATAAACAAATTAAACAATTCCTCTGGAAGCTCTGGTCTAATTATACCTAACAGAAAGGCCTCAGGTTACTTGGGAATCATCACTTTAAACGTTTTTTAACTCATTATAAATCATTTCCCAATAACCTTTTTGCCTTTCTGCAGGTCCACCACATATGAATAAAAGTTCCATCCATCATTTTACACTTCCAACAAATACCTGATCTACCTCTATACATTTTTGCAATTTTATACGCTGTTAAGTACCATCTATACATCATCTTCATGTAATTCTCTTTTAATGTACAACAAACTGTAAATTTTAAATTAACTTTCCATAGCTTCCCCTAAAGAAGATATTTAAACTGGTTATCCCCCAAAAACCCGAAGGCTTTCTGCGAGGGGTAATTGGGACAGATGTTCTGAAGAATCTGACTTTTATATTTTTATATATCCAACAACTCTCTACATGTGGAAATGTAAAGAGGGATTCCGACTAAAGAAGAATAGCTTCTAAAATTAACGGACTATGCTGAAATGACGGAATTGACTGTAAAATTAAGAGATCCAAAGGACAAACTTTTTATGGAAAATCTGAGGCCTCTCTTGGACTATCTGACAAAGTATTAGAGCGACATGAAATTGTGAGCAGGATTTGAGATATGAGCAGCAAAGGAAGAAAACTGTAAGATGGTGTTAAGGGGTTTGGTAATAATTATAATGCACAAAAATGTCAGGGAGGGAAGGGTGGGAAGTCAAAAAGAAAACTGTAAGATAATGGTTTATTGTCTGTGGAGAAAATTTGCTTTAAATATTCAAAACGTACCGTATTTTTCACCCTATAGGATGTACTTTTTCCCCTCCAAAAATGAAGGGGAAATGTGTGTGCGTCCTATGAGGCGAATGCAGGCTTTCGCTGAAGCCTGGAGAGCGAGAGGCGTTGGTGCGCACCGACGCCTCTCGCTCTCCAGGCTTCAGGAAGCTGTCCACAAGCCTTGCAAGCCCGGTGGGAGTTCCCGCCGTGCTCACAAGGCTTGCGGACAGCAGCCTGCAGCCCGAAGCACAGGGGTGCGCTCTGGAGCTAACCCCATGCTTAGGGCAGATGTCCGCAAGCCTTGCACGCCCGGCGGGAGTTCCCGCGGGCTCGCAAGGCTTGTGGATAGCAGTCTGTTCTGGGGGGGAAAGTAATTTTTTATTTATTAATCCCCCCCCAAAAAAACGAGGTGCGCCCTATGGGCCAGTGCACCCTATAAGGCGAAAAATACGGTAATCAAAATAAATTTAAAGAAAAAAACAGGACACTGGACTCGGAAGGAAGGAGGGAAGGAAAGAAGGAAGCTTTCTTACTAGGAATTTTAGGTCCAGAAATACCTCAGGATCAGAAGAGACTATTTATGTATGCTACAACAGCTGCACGGATGCTACTTGCCCAAAGATGGAAGGAGGACAATTTACCTACAAAAGAAGAATGGCTGATAGAGATGATGGACTATGCCTAATTGGCGAAAATGACCGGGAAAATCAGAGATCAGGAAGACAATAAATTTAATAAAGAATGGGGAAATTTTTTAAGTTACTTGAAAGAACACTACAAGGAATTGAAAACATTGGAGTGCAATGAAGTGAGAATTATGATAAATATTGAGATTTAAGAAAATATGGAGAATATGATAAGACACAGTTTGAAAAGAATATCTGGGGAAACCACGGAGGGAAGTTCGAGGATTCTGAGAATCCTATTTGTAAAATGATTATGATTTGTGTATGATGACAAATGTTTGTTGTTGTTGTTTAGTCGTTTACTCATGTCCGACTCTTCATGACCCCATGGACCAGAGCACGCCAGGCACTCCTGTCTTCCACTGCCTCCCGCAGTTTGGTCAAACTCATGCTGGTAGCTTTGAGAACACTGTCCAACCATCTCATCCTCTCTCGTCCCCTTCTCCTTGTGCCCTCCATCTTTCCCAACATCAGGGTCTTTTCCAGGGAGTCTTCTCTTCTCATGAGGTGGCCAAAGTATTGGAGTCTCAGCTTCAGGATCTGTCCTTCCAGTGATCACTCAGGGCTGATTTCCTTCAGAATGGATCGGTTTGATCTTCTTGCAGTCCATGGGACTCTCAAGAGTCTCCTCCAGCACCAGAATTCAAAAGTTATGTTATAATGAATTAAAATGAATAATTTTTATTTTATTTTTTTAAAAGGAAGGAAGTATGGAAGTTTAACATGAAGGTCATCGACAAGCAAAATCCAGAAGACTCGGAAAGGAAAGGTGCTTCAAATCTGCCTGGCATACATGGCCTTCCTTGCATGTAGCTCAGACAGAAGCAAAGAGAAGGAGAGGGATTTGTTGAAGCTGAAAGAGGCGCACAGGAGATAAGAGGCCCCATCACTGCCACCTGCCCATCTCCCCAGGGGTCCTTCCCCTTACCTGGTCTAGTGTTACAGCAGCTGCTTCCCCTCTGTCCGAAAGAAGAGGTGGCCGAACGGGTCTTGCCAAGCTCATTCCATCACCTGCTAAAGAGACAAAGGTGGCGGAAAGCCAACAGCCCAGGTCTCCTCCACTGCATGCAGTTTGAATGTCGAGTCCTTTTTTTCTGGACTGCTTTAAAGAAGGAATAGACACATACTGTGGAGGAATTCTGCTCACAATAGCTATGTACAATAGCTAGTTGAAGGCAGTGTATTTTTGAATACCAGCAGCTGGACAAACCACAAGAGGAGAGAGCTTCCTTGTGTTCAGGTTCTGCTCCCAGTCTTCTCATGTTAATTTAATAATAATAATAATAATAATAATAATAATAATAATGTACTGCTCCACACCCACAGATCTTAGGGCAGATCACAGGATAAAAACAGAACACGAAACCACAAAATAAATAATCAAAATAATAAAAACCACAACGCAATAACTCGCCCCTTTCAGTTTGCGTTTCTTAGTACAGTGGAACCTTGTGTGTTGCGGACGTAATCCATGACAGAGGCACATTCACAACCTGCAGCGTTCGCATCCTGAAGCGCCGTGTCTGCGCCGGCGCGATTTGGCGCTTCAGCGCATGCGCGAGCGGCGAAACCCGGAAGTAACCCGTTCTGGTACTTCCAGGTTTCCCATGGTCTGCAACCCAAAAACACGTAACCTGAAGCGTCCATAACATGAGGTATGACTGTACAGAAAGTATTGATCTGATGTGTAGAGATCTTTCCTATTCTAATTAGTTCAAGAGGGTTCTGGAAGCTTCTCTGTGTGACAGAAACAAGCAGAAGGTTCATGATGTTTGGGTTATTCCTTCAGAGAAGCTGAGTACAGCTGGCTTAACTCGGTCCTGTTATCTCTTCTGTCAAAGTCATGCTGACTATAATAATAAGGGCAGAAGGAGCCTTGGTTTCATTTTCTATCTCTCTTCCTTCTGGTGTGGTGTTCTGTATACAGTGGTACCTCGGGTTACAGACTCTTCAGGCTACATACGCTTCAGGTTATAGAGTCCGCTAACCCAGAAATAGTACCTCGGGTTAAGAACTTTGCTTCAGGATGAGAACAGAAATCGCGCGGCGGCAGCAGGAGGCCCCATTAGCTAAAGTGGTGCTTCAGGTTAAGAACAGTTTCAGGTTAAGAATGGACCTCCGGAACGAATTAAGTACTTAACCCGAGGTACCACTGTATAGTGTTACTAGAAATTATTGTAAGTTTAAGTGAACTCTGCTGCAACTGGATTTCTTATGGACAGCACCAATCCTGAACGTATTGGATTTGTGACCATCATACTCATTTGCCTTCAGTAGCAGTAAAGCTCTGCTGGATGAAATATTCATTGCCTCTGGTCTATTTTTGGGGAATCTTGCAACCTGTTGAAGTTTTTACTCTGCTAACTATGTGCTGGAATCTGCTCTGGATCAACATTGAGTAGAATTCCATGACACCCCCCAAAAAACCCCACATTTAAAAAAGGCATAGGATGTAGGATTTGGCTGGTCAGTGTGAGAACAGGATGGTGGACTAGATGGGCCCCAGGAATGACCCAGACGACCTCTTCTTAATCTATTTTTATATCCCAGTTTGGTGAAAACACAGCTCTCCACCTGAGCTCTGGGCAACAAATCCAAGTGTCGCCTTTAACATGTTCAAACGTTGGAAATAAATATGGACGAACTGTGTATAAGGGCTGTGGGGCAAGCATGTTCGCCCACGACAAGAGTCAGGAGAACGCGAAGGCATCCCAAAGATCACATTCACCCAGTGCTATACCAGCTGCACTGGCTCCCATTGCAGTACAGGATCAGGTTCAAGGTGCTGGTTTTGACCTTTAAAGCCCTATACGGCCTAGGACCCTCGTACCTATGGGACCGCCTCTCCTGGTATGCCCCACGGAGAACCTTAAGGTCCACAAATAAAAACATCTTGGAGATCCCGGGCCACAGGGAGGCTAGGCTGGCCTCGACCAGAGCCAGGGCTTTTTCGGCCGTGGCCCCGATTTGGTGGAACGCTCTGTCACAAGAGACTAGGGCTCTGCGGGACTTGACATCTTTCCGCAGGGCCTGCAAGACAGAGCTGTTCTACTAGGCCTTTGGCCAAGGCACAGTCTGATCCCCTCCTTTGGTAATCCTCACAGAACTCTAGGCCAATGGTTGCCATTAATTTGATTTTAATTTGATTTTAGAATCATAGAATTATAGAGTTGGAAGAGACCACAAGGGCCATCGAATCCAACCCCCTGCCAAGCAGGAAACAATGATTTTATGAATGCTGTGTTACTTTTATTGTTCTTAGCCACTATGAGCCTGGCTTCGGCTGGGGAGGGCAGGATATAGAAAGATTATTATTATTATTATTATTATTATTATTATTACATAAACAGTGGAGGGTGTCATGGATTGGTTGCACATAGGGGAATGGTGGAAGGAAGCAGCTGGGGAACTCCTAAGGAAAGAAAACTCAGAGCCTGGAGAATGGTGGTGGGACGGCAATGAGTGGTCAGAGGGAAAAGATGGGAAAGAGAAGGGATCGGAAGCTGATGAGGTAACAGGGTTTAGTGAGCAGGAGGAGGCTGTGGCAGACAGCAGTCCAGAATCGGAGACAGAAGGTGAAGCAGGAGAGGAGGCCAAGAAGCAGAGACGGGTCAGGCTGATGAAGAGGCACGGGTGTCTCCCCGTTGTACTATGGCAAACTCCCTCCACCTTCTGTCTCCCAGAACCAGAAGAGGGCTGAAACAGGAGAATAGGTCAAACAAAGGTGCAGTCTCTGATCGCTGGGAAAAGTCCTGGAGAGGAGCGGACTTAAGACAGTTGCGGGGGAGGCTTCAGCAACTGATTTCCTGCCTGTTAAGTTGTGGGTGAACATATCACACGACACAGCGATTCTTCAAACAGCTCTTGTTTATTCACAGGCCAGAACAGAACTGAACTGAAGGGTTCAGCCAGCCTGCTTATATAGAGCTCCATTACAACGCAACTGTAACAACTTTCTCAAACTATCTAATCACTGAACGTCACTTTCAATCCCTTATTTGCATATGTGGACCTGAGTTAAAACTATCTACAGTATCCCCCTGCTGGCCCAGGATGAAAACTTCAGTACATAACACTGCCGGAAGACCCAACAGGGAATGAGCTGCTGTGCTCATTAAGCTTGACATTCAGCCAAGTCTGTAGAGACAGTGTTTTTCCAGTTAACTCCAACTTCCATTTTTAGGGAAGTTTTTAAGGATTGATGTTTTTATTATGTTTTTAGATATGTTGTAAGCCGCCCAGAGTGGCTCATTTGGGGTGCTCATTTGGCAGGGTAAAAAGCCAAGAATAAAATACAAATTATTAATGGAAATTAGAGATAGAAGCGGGTTTGCATTACCAGATCTTAAATTATATTACGAAGCAGCACATCTGGTGTGGCTCAAAGATTGGATGACTTTTAAAAATGTAAACATACTCGATATTGAAGGCTGGGACAACAGATTTATACCCAGATGGGCGGGGTATAAATAACAGAATTATTGTTATTATTTTTATTTGAAGTGTGGGTGATTTACTGACCGGCACGCTCTGTGACAGAGGGAGACCCAAGTTCAAGATCATGCAACATTGATATTTACCCAACAAAGTGGCACCTCCATCACTCTCTGGCATGTTTCGCATGGGATACTCTCCAGTGGTTGATGGCATCCTCTCTGCCTCCAGGGAATCAGCAGCCAATTCTGCAAGCAGACCCTTGGTCTGAAACAGCAAGTTGAAGTTGTAAAACAATGTGAACGCAGATCTTTGGAAGCTTCTTGGTAAAAGCTGGAGAACAATGAACCACGTTATGGAGCGTTGGAGAACTTCTGAAACAACAGTGGGATATTAGCTCTGCCCAAGGCATGATGGAAGCATCGGCTGGGAAAAGATAGACATAACATTTTACAAGGACTGGAAGGAACATCACCAGTGCCGGATTTACATATAAGCTAAACAAGCTATAGCTTAGGACCCCACTCTCTTGGGGGCCTCTAAAAAAAAGGGGGGGGGAAATCTGGATGTACATTTCCAAAATATAAGATAAAAAACAAATAAAATAAAACCTACAAACAGCAACGGTGTTTTGTGTTGTGTAGGCTCCTATGATATAAGTAATGGGCCCCGCCTGCTAGCCTGCTCCCTAAAATATCACTGGTTTTAGATACCTATTAGGTCCATAAATATGGGACGCAGAATGGCACTGTGGCCACTAGGCCACAGAGCCTAGTACTTGCCAATCAGAAGGTCAGTGGTTCAAATCCCCACAATGGGGGGAGCTCCCGTTGCTCGGTCCCTGCTCCTGCCAACCTAGCAGTTCGAAAGCACGTCAAAGTGCAAGTAGATAAATAGGTACCGCTCTGGCGGGAAGGTAAAGGTCACTGTGAGAAGAGGATGCTGGACCAGATGAACCACTGGCCTGATCCAACAGGCTCTTGCTGTCCGAAAAAGTTGGCCAATTATAGCGAGTTTTGAGTTGAGCTCCCTCATGTTTTTTAGGCCCTTTGGAACAACCCTCATTCAGCTGTCTCTCACCTGCTGCTCTGCCTGCTTCTTCTCCTCTGCCCGACTCAGGAGGAAACCTTCAGCCAGGGCCACCGCCTGGGAACAGGTCTCCGCCCCACATTCCCTGACCCAGTTCTCCATCTCCGGGGGGAGGATAGCCAGAAACTGCTCCAGGATCACTAAATCCAGGATCTGAGCCTTGGTGTGTCGCTCTGGCTTGAGCCACTCATGGCAGAGACGGCGCAGTTGGCTGCAAACCTCTCGAGGTCCCTTGGTCTCCTGGTAGCATAAGTCCTTGAAGTTTCTGAACTGTTGGTGCTGTACTTTGGGATGGAAAACACCTTCGGCCGGGATCTTCTTCTGCATGGTTCTTTCCCAGACGTTCTCAGTGCTTCCAATCTTGATGGTGTCGGGGCCTCTTCCTGCCACAGCAGAATCCTGCTTTTCCATCTTTGATCTGTGCCCCAAGGAAGCCTCCAGCTCTGGGAAACAAAAGATGAGTCTCCGTGACACACTGGACAATAGATATAGGACATAATGTGGAACTGAACCTCTGGGAAAAACTGTGGAAGAGTGATCTGAAGTTCACAGCATGCTACTCTTTGAAGGAGAACTACGTGAAAATGGGTGGCGCTGTGGGTTAAACCACAGAGCCTAGGACTTGCCGATCAGAAGGTCGGCAGTTTGAATCCCGACAACGGGGTGAGCGTCCGTTGCTTGGTCCCTGCTCCTGCCACCTAGCAGTTCGAAAGCACGTCAAAGTGCAAGTAGATAAATAGGTACCGCTCCGGCGGGAAGGTAAATGGCGTTTCCGTGCGCTGCTCTGGTTCGCCAGAAGCGGCTTAGTCGTGCTGGCCACATGACCTGGAAGTTGTACGCCGGCTCCCTCAGCCAATAAAGCGAGATGAGCGCTGCAACCCCAGAGTCGGCCACGACTGGACCTAATGGTCAGGGGTCCCTTTACCTTTAGATAACATGGGGATTAGCAGCTAATAAAAGTTTGGGTTCTCTTTTGTTCAGGGCTTCCATCTTGTTCCACCTTGTGGCAGGTGGGAGTCCTGTCTCGACAGCCTTCAATAAAGACCAAGCCTACTGGCTGCTGTTTTGCTCTGGTATTCCTGCCTGGGGTCCTTGTTTTTTTTGTCCAAGGGAGCCCTCAGATTTCTCCGTTAACAGGGCAGGGACCCTCCTAAAACGAAGGGGACCTGCCTGCTTGAACCTCCTGCAATTCCTGAGTGATGTGCGCGTAGGGCTTCTGCAGAGAATCGGAGACCAAAGCGCATAGCAGCGCATCGTTAACCTCTGGAACTCCCCTCCACAATGATCGTCCCCAAGGTTTAGAAAAGAGGATCAGACCGTGGAGGAGGTGGGGATGTTAACAAACCCCCCTCTGCCAAGCATCCAAGCCCCCTCCTCTCTTTGCAGCCTTGCAGTCTCCCCATCCCCTCCAGCCCTGCGACTGCCCTTCACCCAAATAATAATAATAATAATAATAATAATAATAATAATAATAATAATAAAAAAAATAAATTTTATTTATATCCCGCCCTCCCCAGCCAAAGCCGGGCTCAGGGCGGCTAACAACAATCAAATAATCAATCAAATAATCTAACATTCTAAAACATTTCATTATAACAATTAATTAAAATCAAATTAATGGCAACCGTTAAGCAAAGTTCTGTGCAGGTTGCTAGAGGAGGGAGTCAGGGAGTCAAATGCACAAAAAGTGGGGCAGGCAAGCTCACCAGATCCCAGAGCGTGGATCCCAGCGGGGGAAGAAGCAGGAAAGCCACCGGATGGGGACGGACATTATAATGAGAGTTCCCTCCCCCCAAGTTCCCTCCCTCTCCAGGAAGCGAGCTGGGCTCATGTTCACCGGATTCCTCTCCGGTCTCTGCTTTTTCTGCATTTCACAGAGATGCCTGCTTTGGCCACTCCTGGGGGGCTCAGACATATGCCCCCTTCCCCTGAGCAAGATGGGAGGAAACTGACTGCAAAGGTTTCTTGCGGGGGGGGGGGGGTTTGCAGGAAATCCCGTTCTCATCCTACCTATGCTAGATCGCCCCTCAGCGGAGAGAGGAAAATCATGGAATCAAAAGAATTGGAGGGCACCCAGGTGGTCATCTAGTCCGACCCCCTGCAATGCAGAAATCCAAGCGAAAGAACCCCTGACAGATCCTGCAGGGAAATGCGGTTTTGCAATTAAACTAGAAACTAGAAGCCTTTGGCTGATCTTATAGACATCCAACACCCTTTGAGAATGTGGCTTTTGGGGGGGGTGTTATTGGGTTACAGTGGTACCTCGGGTTAAGAACTTACGGTAATTCGTTCCGGAGGTCTGTTCTTAACCTGAAACTGTTCTTAACCTGAAGCACCACTTTAGCTAATGGGGCCTCCCACTGCCGCCACTGCACGATTTCTGTTCTCATCCTGAAGCAAAGTTCTTAACCCGATATAATATTTCTGGGTTAGCAGAGTCTGTAACCTGAAGCGTATGTAACCTGAAGCGTATGTAACCTGAAGCGTATGTAACCCGAGGTACCACTGTACTGCTTTTGGTTTGATTTTGTATGTTGTGGTCTTGTGAACCGCCCTGAGACCTCCGGGTATAGGGCGGTGAATAATAATAATAATAATAATTTATTATTTGTACCCAGCCACCCTGGGCAGCTTCCAACAAAGATTAAGAATACATAAAAATGTCACACATTAAAAACGTCCCTGAACAGCCTTCAGATGTCTTCTACATGTCAGGTAGTTGTTTATCTCTTTGACATCTGATGGAAGGGTGTTCCACAGGGCGGGTGCCACTACCAAGAAGGCCCTCTGCCTGCTTCCCTGTAGCTTTGCTTCTCGCAATGAGGGAACTGCCAGAAGGCCCTCGGCGCTGGACCTCAGTGTCCGGGCAGAACGATGGGGGTGGAGACGCTCCTTCAGATATACTGGACCGAGGCCGTTTAGGGCTTTAAAGGTCAGCACCAACACTTTGAATTGTGCTCGGAAACGTACTGGGAGCCAATGTAGGTCTTTCAAGACCGGTGTTATGTGGTCTCGGCGGCCACTCCTAGTCACCAGTCTAGCTGCTGCATTCTGGATTAGTTATAGTTTCCGGGTCACCTTCAAAGGTAGCTGCACGTAGAGCTCATTGCACCAGTCCAAGCTGAATGAACGAATGAACTATATAGCAGCTGTTCAACAGTGGCACAGTCTCCTTTGAGAGGTGGCGGACTCCCCATCCTTGGAGGTTTCTAAGCTGAGGTTGGCTGGCCATCTGTCATAGATGCTTTAGCCGAGATTCCTGCATTGGGTTGGGCTAGATGACCCCTGGGGATTCCTCTCTTTTAAGCTTACCTGGTGGTCACTTGGAAAGTCCACCCCAGCCGTGGCCTGGGGACATCATCTTCCAAGCCGCATGACTGACAATGTTTATATATTACTTAATATATGTAGGGTTTGGTATCAGCGTTGCTTGTGCAGGTTCTTTGCTGTTCACTTGTGTTCCTTTGGTGGTGAGAGAGGTTGGGGTTGGCCTAGGGCAGGGGTCTGCAACCTTTAAGACAAAAAGAGCCACTTGGACCCGTTTCCAAAGAAAAAAAAACTGGGAGCCGCAAAACTCATCATTATAAAAATAACTTTTTTGTCACTTTTTTATTATTTCTTTGTTTGACCCCTCAGAATTACTCCTCCTCATAGAAATAAACGTTAAATTTACAAGTTACCTTTTTTTGTGTGTGTGTTCTTCACTCCCCTTCAAAACAGTGACCAGCGTACATGCCCCCTTTCAATGCAGTGACCAGCGTACATGCCCCTTACAATGTAGCGGGCGGGCGGGAAGGTGACATCAGGACGGTGCGTGACTAACGCATGCACCACCCCCATGTGACGTCACAGCCAGTACAGCGCCCGCCACAGTGGGGAGTGTCGGGGCACACAATGCGCCTCCTTCCCTCGCTAGTATCCGCCCCGGAGCCACAGCAAAGGTGCAAAAGAGCCACATGCGGCTCCGGAGCCACGGGTTGCAGACCCCTGGCCTAGGGTGTGGTTGTTCATTTGCGGTTGGCTCTGGTTGTCTTTGTTTTCGTGTGTGAGTTGGGTGGGTGGATGTTTCGGATCAGGTTAGCCATATTGATTTGTATGCTGTTGGTGGGTTTTTGTCGTCTTGTTGGGCTGTGTATGTGATAGAGGGGAGCCATACTGGGGTGAAAGCGTCTTCTTCTATTTGTCCCCATACGAGAAATATGTAAAATAACCAAGCAAGTATTAGAAATCACCCCAGAATTGGCCTTACTAAACATCTTCCAAGACAATAATGCCCATTTACACCACAAAGAACTCATAACCCATCTACCGTATTTTTCGCCCTATAGGATGCACTTTTCCCCCTCCAAAAATGAAGGGGAAATGTGTGTGCGTCCTATGGGGCGAATGCAGGCTTTCGCTGAAGCCTGGAGAGCGAGAGGCATTGGTGCGCACCGACCCCTCTTGCTCTCCAGGCTTCAGGAGAGCCCCGTCGCCAGCCCCAAAAACTCGGGGGACAGTGGGAGGTGCAGCGCGCCTTTCCCACTGTCCCCCGACTTGGCTAGAAGGCTGGCGGGGGGGAGAAGCCTGCTCCTCCCCGTCGCCAGCCCCGCAAACTCGGGGGACAGCGGGAGGCGCAGCGCGCCTTTCCCACTGTCCCCCGACTTGGCTAGAAGGCTGGCGGAGGGCTTTCCCCTCCTCCAGCCCCGCAAGCTCCCAGAGCGATGTCAAAGCTGCACGCAGCTTCCACATGGCTCTGGGTCCCGTTCTGGGGGAGGGGGGAGGGGGAAGCTCTGCTTTCCCCTCCTCCAGCCCCGCAAGCTCCCAGAGCGATGCCAAAGCTGCCAAAGCCCGAGCTTCCCGAGCTTCTAGGTGCGTCCTATGGGCCGGTACGTCCTATAGGGTGTAAAATACGGTACTTTCAGCAGCCAGAAACATCATAACCAGACACTGGAGAGACCTGTCAGGAGTAAGCATGGACCAATGGTACCAAATAGTATGGGAAACAGCCTTACTAGAAAAATTAACCAATAAACTACCTTCTTCTTGTTGACCTTCCTGTTCGTCCTGTCTGCTTCCTGCATCACTTGGACTGTACTGCTGGCTGCCAAAGAAGTTCCCCAGGTTATCTCGGTTCAGAAACCAAGGCACGGCTTCTGATTGGCTGCAGGAGCTTCCTGCACTCAATCGGAAGCCATGTCCGTCGTTCGGCTTCCAAAAAAACGTTTGCAAACCAGGACACTTACTTCTGGGTTTGCGGCGTTCGGGAACCAATTTGTTCGACAACTAAACCGTTTGGGAACCAAGGTACCACTGTAATGGGAGATGTCAACAAAGACGGGATGTCTTTTAATTCGGCAGTCGTGATAGGCCAGGGGTCAGCAAACTTTTTCAGCAGGGGGCCGGTCCACTGTCCCTCAGACCTTGTGGGGGGGGGCCAGACTATATTTTTTTGGGGGAAAATGAACGAATTCCTATGCCCCACAAATAACCCAGATGCATTTGAAATAAAAGGGCACATTCTACTCATGTAAAAACACACTGGTTCCCGGACTAGATTTAGAAGGCGATTGGGCCTGATCCAGCCCCCGGGCCTTAGTTTGCCTACCCATGTGACAGGCTGTAAACTTTGCACGTGCACGAGCCAATGGGGAAACAAGGGAGGGAACCTGCACTTGGGAATAGGGGATATAAGCTTATGTTTTGTTAATTTTGGGTGTGCCTGCTTTGGACACTTGCTCTTGCAAGAACGCTTTTATATTCAATAAACACTTTGCTGCTTCACCAATTTTGTTCAGATTTTATTTTGAGGGTCTCAGACCCACTTCTAACAGCGTTGAAAGCCCTAATTGACTTAGGCCCCAAATATCTGAGAAATTGCCTCCTTCTCCACAGACCTTCTTGGGTTAAGATCAGCAGAATGGCCCCTCTTGGCTGTTCCACCACCTTTCGAAGATGAGGGGTTGACCTGCAAGAGGCCATTTTCTATGGCAGCCCCTAGGTTGTGGAAAGCCCTCCTCACAGAGCTGCGTCGGACACATTCCTTGTATAGTTTACGTCACATGCTGAAAACACACCTCTTTCCTTTTTACAATTGAGATACAGGTTTTCAGGAAACCGTCCCTGCGATTCCTGTGAATTTAACTTGGTTTTAAACTGTTTTTAATACAGCATTTTAATTGCTGGAATCCACCTTATGGTGAAAGGCAAGTAAGAAATCAAATAGCTAATAACAATATTTCAGATCAAACTGCCAATTTTATAGGATACCTAAATGGATGAAAAGAAAGCAATAATTCTAATAACAAGGTTATATACATGCAGGTTTCAATCTAAGCATGCAAGTGTTTTATTCGAAACATGCAGGTGTTTTTACTCGGGTCACTTTTAGATTATTGTAATATAAATGCTGTTGTTCAAAGTGCCTCTGGCCATGCCACTCAGAAACGGCACTCAAAGATGTTAATTTCACTAGGTCATGGCATTTCTAAACATACAGCTATCGGCTAGGTCATGCTGTTCCTTTTTGACTAGACAATTATTTATTTGAATTGGGCCCTGAACAAAACATAACACATTATAAGGATTCATTGCTTACAACAGAGAGAAGCTTTGAAGCTTAGCTGAGTCAACATAAGGCAGTTCAGTATCTCCTGTCAAGGGTTTGGACTGCTTAACAGAGAAGGCTGAATCAAATTCAGCTTGAGAAAGTTGGGTTTCCCCAGAAATGGGCCTGATTAATTTTTACCTGTTATTAGATTGTCTAGGACATAGAGTTATCTGCGACATTATATTTGACAGCAATATGTACTTTGTACATGTATGTCTCTTTTCTTATCCTTTCACAAAAATAAATAATACTCATTGACATTTCCAGTGGAGAAAACACTTATATGTGGGCTCGCATGATTCAGAGTTACTGCATATTCCAAGCACTGCTGTGAATTCTTTGATGATAGGCGAGATTGATCTTACTGCTGAAGCTTTTTCCGCATTCCATGCATTGGTACGGTTTCTCCTGTGTGTGAATTCTCTGATGAGAGGTAAGGTTGCTCTTCTGACTGAAGCTCTTCCCACATTCTGAGCACTGATAGGGCCTTTCCCCCGTATGAATCCTTTGATGGGAAGTGAGGTTGATCTTGTGACTGAAGCTCTTCCCGCATTCCAAACACTGATAGGGTTTCTCCCCGGTGTGGATTTTCTGATGCGAAATAAGGTTCGAACCTCGAATGAAGCTCTTCCCGCACTCTGAACATTGGTATGGCTTCTCCCCGGTGTGAATCCTCTGGTGGGAAGTGAGGTGTATCATCTGAGTGAAGCCCTTCCCACATTCCAAGCATTTGTACGGCTTATCCACTCTGTGGATTCTCTGATGAGAACTAAGGGTGGAACTCTGACTGAAGCTCTTCCCGCATTGGGGGCACCGAAATGGCTTCTCCCCTTTGTGGATGTTTTGGTGTGATGTCAGGCTGGAGTATCTAATGAAGCTTTTCCCACATTCCACGCACTGGTAGGGCTTCTCCCCTGTGTGAATTCTCTGGTGGGATGTGAGGTGAATCTTCTGGCTGAAACCCTTCCCGCATTCCAAGCACTTATGGGGCTTCTCCACCCTGTGAATTCTTTGATGGGAACTCAAGGTAGAGCTCAGCCTAAAGCACTTCCCACATTCGGGGCACTGATACGGTTTCTCCCCTGTGTGCGTCCGGTGATGGGAAGCGAGGTTCGCCTTCTCGCTGAAGCTCTTCCCGCATTCCGGGCACTGATACGGTTTCTCCCCTGTATGAGTTCTTTGATGGGAAGTGAGATGAATCTTCTGGCTGAAGCCCTTTCCGCACTGCAAGCACCTGTACGGCTTCTCCGCTCTGTGAATTATCTGATGAGAAGCAAGGGTGGAACTCAGACTGAAGCGCTTTCCACATTCCACACACCGGAATGGTTTCCCCTCTTTGTGAATCATCTGATTAATCGCAGTTATCGTCTCATCGACGCACTTTCTGCCTTCCAAGCACTGGTTTGTTTTTTGACCTGCGCGAGGAGCTGAACTGAAACATTCCCAATACACACAACATTTGCTCGTTTCTCTTATTTCATCTGTTGTTTCATCTGTTGCAATCTCGTGGTAGTTGCGGCCTTCAGAAGCAGAGGGTTTACTCCAGCCATTCGGATTTGTTTCTGTTTTCCTTCTCTGCTGTTCCAAGTCTTCACATGTACCTCGTTCCGGTGGCAACCCGGGTAGTTCTGTTTTCGCCATGGTTTCATGTATGTCTTCTGCTGCAAAAAAGAGAGAAAAGAGAGGAAGAAATAAGAATAATAAACAAAAATATTTATATCCCGCCCTCCCCAGCCGAAGCCGGGCTCAGGGCAGCTAACAACACTAAAATAGTGCAACATTCTAAAAACATTATAAAAATTAATTAAAATCAAAATTGATGGCAACCATAAACTAAAGTTCTGTAAAGATTGCCAAAGGAGGGAGTCAGGCTGTGCCCTGACCAAAGGCCTGGTGGAACAGCTCTGTCTTGCAGGCCCTGCGGAAAGATGTCAAGTCCTGCAGGGCCCTTGTCTCTTGTGGCAGAGTGTTCCACCAGATCGGAGCCACAGCGGAAAAAGCCCTGGCTCTGGTTGAGGCCAGCCTAACCTCCCTGTGGCCTGGGACCTCCAAGATGTTTTTATTGGAAGACCGTAAGTTCCTCTGTGGGGCATACCAGGAGAGGCGGTCCCGTAGGTACGAGGGTCCTAGGCTGTATAGGGCTTTGAAGGTTAAAACCAGCACCTTAAACCTGATCCTGTACTGCACCGGGAGCCAGTGCAGCTGGTATAGCAGCGGATGAATGTGATCTCGCAGCGAAGACCCCGTAAGGAGTCTTGCTGCGGCATTCTGCACCCGCTGGAGTTTCTGGGTCGGTCTCAAGGGCAGCCCCACGTCTTGAGAGTCTTGAATCACTGGACAGTTTGAACCACCACTTGTGATAAAGGGAAAAAACTGCTAAGGCTTAGATGGGAGGGAAATCCTATCACACATCTAACGTCCACTGTTTCAGCTCCCAGCTCAGACCTGAAGTTCACTGGTTTATCCTGGGCCGGTCACTCTCTTTCAGCCTAGCCTAACTCACAAGGTTGTTGTGTAAGCAAATGCAACAATCAGATACGATACGATCATCTTTATTGTCATTGTCCCATACAGAACAACGAAATTGAAAAATCTACACCAGACATTCAAAAACCAACAAGCCTGCTGTCCCAGCTATCCCAACCTGTTTAGCCCCCTAAAAACTCTGATACCCCATTTTTAAATACAATATACTCCCATAGAGACTCCTTACACTGCGTTGAAAACCAAAATTGCATTTGGCAGGCGAGAATTCTACCGCTTGCTTAAAATGTATATAGGAAGTGCAGTGTAAGCGATGGAAGTCAATCAATGAAGTTTTATTATTGAGATATTTGTAGAATAAATTTGGAATAAATTCTTCCAATTTTTCTTCTTATTTTTTTATTTTCTTCCTTTTTTATTTTTTGTTCTTTTTTATATACCATGTGTGCTTATCCGAAAAATATATTTATGTATGTATTTGTATGTATTTTGCTTGTATTTTGCAATAATTATGTTAAATAAAATTTATTAAAAATTTAAAATAAGAAACAAAAAACAAAACAAAATCGCATTTGGATAGAAACTGTTTCTCAGGCGGCTAGTCCTAGTCTTTATAACCCTGTACCTTCTTCCAGAAGGCAGAAGATGCATTCTTTCCTGACTGAGCTGTATCAACATCATTGTGTGCGGCCGGATAACAAGCTGGCTCACTGGTCCAGATTCCCCCACCTGCTAACTGAAGGATGATGGAAGGAGCCCTGGTGCATCCTGGGAAATGAGTTTGGAGAGGTGATACCAGCGAGAACAGACAGTGGCCCAATTGCTACAGCACAGCTGTTTTGTCAGGCTTCTGAGGAAGGACCATGGCTCAGTGGTTGAGCTTCTGCCTTGCATGAAGAAGGTCTCAGGTCCAATCCCTGGAATCTCCAGATGTGGCTGGAAAAGCCTTCCTGCCTGAAACCCTGGACAGCTTCTGCCAGTCCAGTGTAGACAATACTGAACTAGATGGACCAATTGTTTCACCCAGTAACTTCCTATATTCTCCAATAACTCTAATTTTTTTTTTGTATTTAAATCTGTTTTTGTATCCGAAAGGTTATTAATGATATTTTTTAAGTGACGCTTTCAACAGACTTTGATTTCATGACAATGGGTATAATTGGAAACACGGCTATAGAGAAAGGTGACCAGTTTAGCTTCAAAGCTATGATATTAGCGGGAAAGGCAACGATAGCTTTAGGTTGGAAAAGATAAGAGAAAAATGGACAGTAGAGGCATGGAATAGTTATTTGTTTGAACTGATTCAGTCGGACATTGTCGCAGTCATGTCACAGGAAACAACATGGAAGATCAAGTCCACCACGATAAGGAACAGATGGAACCCCTATCTTCAATGGATAAAAACTACTGGAACAAAAGACATTCGGTGGAAACCAAAAACGCTATGCCCGTGGCTGAGGATGTTTGAACCCTTCCAATGGATATGGGGGGTGGGGGTGGGAAGGGAGGGAAAGGAAAAAATTCTACGGGAAATTTAAAAACTGGAAGGAGATAATATAATGTATGTAAAAATCCCGAACTCGAATAAAATGGTTCTTAACCCGAAAAAAATAAATCTATTTTTGTATTTGTACTTATTAAGGTATCAACAACTTGCATATAAACGTAGACTTGCCATGGACAAATTCAATGGTATTTGGAATCCATTCTTACAAATACTGTAATAGGTTAAGATCTGGTGAAGCACAATAACAACCTTGCAAAGTACAGTCGTACCTTGGAAGTCGAACGGAATCCATTCCAGAAGTCCGTTCGACTTCCGAAACGCAGTTTCAGCTTACAAATCTTCAAATAACCCTGCTAATGAGGTTAATTGCTTTGAATCGGTAAATATAGATCAACCCTGCTAGAAAAGGGGGAAGGCGGATTTGAGGTACCAAGATATTGAGATTCTGCCAAAAAAAAAACCTATAATGTGCCTACCATTTCTAAAAAAATGTGATTGTCTGCTTGAGGGTCTTACCGAGAGAGGCGACAAGATGGCCGTTCTCCTGCATGACTTCTGTATGCAGCGCTTTCTGGTGAGGAGCCAGCCCAGCCCATTCCTCCCCTGTGAAGTACACAGCAACCTCCTCAAAGGTGGATCCTGCACCCTAGGAGACAACGAGAGGTGTCTGTAGTTGTGGGGTGTGAATGAATAAAATAAGCAGGAGAAAATCAAATATTTGTCTCTTTGTAGGTAGCAAGCATGCCATCTACTAGCAAAACCCATAAGGCTCATCAAGGAAAGGAGGCTGGGAAGTATATACTTGAGAAGATTGAGAGGAGATACGATCGCCATCTTCAAATATCTGAAGGGCTGTCACATGCAAGATGGAGCCAGCTTGTTTTTGTATTTAATAATATAATAATAATAATTTATTCCAGTAGTGATGTATGGAAGTGAGAGCTGGACCATAAAGAAGGCTGATCGCCGAAGAATTGATGCTTTTGAATTATGGTGCTGGAGGAGACTCTTGAGAGTCCCATGGACTGCAAGAAGATCAAACCTCTCCATTCTTAAGGAAATCAGCCCTGAGTGCTCACTGGACAGATCGTGAAGCTGAGGCTCCAATACTTTGGCCACCTCATGAGAAGAGAAGACTCCCTGGAAAAGACCCTGATGTTGGGAAAGATTGAGGGCACAAGGAGAAGGGGACGACAGAGGACGAGATGGTGGGACAGTGTTCTCGAAGCAACCAGCATGAGTTTGACCACACTGTGGGAGGCAGTGGAAGACAGGAGTGCCTGGCGTGCTCTGGTCCAGGGGGTCACGAAGAGTCGGACACGACTCAACAACAATAATTTGTTATTTGTACCCCGCCCATCTGGCTGGGCCTCCCCAGCCACTCTGGACGGCTTCCAACAAAGATTAAAAATACATTAAAATGTCACACATTAAAAACTTCCCTGAACAGGGCTGGCTGCCTTCAGATGTCTTATAAATGTCTGATAGTCGTTTTTTTCTTTGACATCTGGTGGGAGGGTGTTCCACAGGGCGGGCGCCACTACCGAGAAGGCCCTATGCCTGGTTCCCTGTAGCTTTGCTTTTCGCAGTGAGGGAACCACCAGAAGGCCCTTGGCGCTGGACCTCAGTGTCCAGGCAGAACGATGGGGGTAGAGACGCTCCTTCAGGTATACTGGGCCGAAGCCGTTTAGGGCTTTAAAGGTCAACACCAACACTTTGAATTGTGCTTGGAAACATACTGGGAGCTAATGTAGGCCTTATAATTTTTATTAAGTTTTGTGTTTTACAATTTAAAACCATCATTTTCACATCCTTAAAATATCATTGGCTTCCCTTCTTCTCTTTTCATGGTTTATTTCACATATCATAAAACCCTGCATATTTTACAAAAACCATGCCATTATTGCATCCATCAAAACTTATTCACACTGTTGAATTTATCTTAATGCTGCCAGCGTTTTCAGCTGTACACAGTTATTTCCGATATATCCCATAAACGTTTTCCAATCTTCTCTAAACGTATTTTCTTCTTGTTCTCTTATTCTGTATGTTAAGTCTGCAAGCTGCACATATTCTGGCAACTTAAGCTGCCATTCTTCTTTCGTTGGGACCTCACTCGTTTTAATTTTTGGGCTAACAAAACACGGGGCGCATAAATATGCCACCTTTTTTTTTACACCTGGGAATTTCCATCCGAATTATCCCGAACAGAAAGGACTCTGTTTTTTGGGGGAGAGCCAGCTTGCCTTGGGCTGCTCCAGAGGGCTGGACCCGAACTGAAAGAGTCAAATTGCAAGAATTCCAGCTAAACCTTAGGAAGAACCTGCTGGCCTGGGAAGGCTGTGACCTCTCCCTCCTTGGAGGTTTATAAGTAGAGGTTTATAAGTAGAGGTGTCAGGGATGCTTTAGCTGAGATTCCTGCAATGAAGGGGGTTGGGTTGGGCTAAGATGATCCATGGAGGGAGATTCCTCCCAACTTTGAAATTCTAATGTCAATAACATTCTCAGTCCACCTTCTAGGTGGCTTTGACATAAGGAAAGAGAAGGGGAGAGATTCAAAAGCATGCCCTGTTTAAAGGTAAAGGTAAAGGGACCCCTGACCATTAGGTCCAGTTGTGGCCGACTCTGGGGTTGTGGCGCTCATCTCGCTTTATTGGCCGAGGGAGCCGGCGTACAGCTTCCGGGTCATGTGGCTAGCGTGACGAAGCTGCAGCTGGCGAGCCAGCACCTGCGCCGCACACGGAAACGCCGTTTACCTTCCCGCCAGAGCGGTACCTATTTATCTACTTGCATTTTGACGTGCTTTCGAACTGCTAGGTGGGCAGGAGCAGGGACCGAGCAACGGGAGTTCACCCCATGGCAGGGATTCGAACTGCCGACCTGCTGATCGGCAAGTCCTAGGCTCTGTGGTTTAACCCACAGTGCCACCCGTGTGCCATTCCCTGTTTAGGGAAGTTTTAATGACTGATGTTTTAATGTATTTTTAATCTTTTGTTGGAAGCTGCCCAGAGTGGCTGGGAAAACCCAGCCAGATGGGCGGAATATAAGTAATAAATTTATAAATATACAAGTTGTACAAGTGACAAGAAAGTATTTCAATTTCAATTTCAAAATTATTACTATTATTATTCCACTTTAACCAGGCCTTTGGCTGACTGACATCTAATGCCCTTTTAAAATGTGTTGGGGAGGTGGGATTATTTGGTTGTTCTTTCTTTTATTTTTATTATGCATTTTGTGTTTTTATATTATGATTTTATCTGGTGAACCCTGAGACCCGCAGGTATAGGGCAGTATACTTCTTCTTCTTCGTCAAGCCCAGGGAGTTGTGGAGGGAACATAGGCACCTAGGCGGACCCCAGCCTATCTCCCTACAATACCTCAAGGACCGCCTCTTCTCATATGAACTGATCCAGACCCCAATATCGTCCTCTAAGGCCCTTCTCTGTGTGCCGCCTCTATGAGAGGTCTGGAGGGTGGTAACACATAGACGGGGCCTTCTCTGCAGTGGCTCCCTGTCTGTGGAATGCTCTCCCCAGGGAGGCTCCCCTAGTGCCTTCATGACACACCTTTAGACACCAGGCAAAAATGTTCCTCTTCAACCAGGCCTTTGGCTGACTGACATCCATCCAATGCCCTTTCAGAGGAGAGGATGATTGGTTTGGTTCCCTTCTTATTTTTATTGCGCATTTGTGGTTTTTAAACATTGTAATTTTACGTTGTGAACTGCCCTGATGAATTTAACAAACAAACGAATGAATGAAATGATCTGTCCTCCTACCTGATTTGTTGTCGCAGCAATTGCTTCCCCTCTGGAATAAAGGAGAGACGGCTGAGAAGGCCTTGTCAGGATCATTCCTTCACCTGTGAGAGACAAAGGTGATCTCGCTCGTCCCAGAGTTCAAGTGACACATCTCTAAGTGGCCGCCGAGGGTGGAGATCAAGGTTGCACAGTTAGAATTGTTCCACCAGCAAAAGCATTTCTGCTAGCCAGATGGAACAGACTCCTCTCTCCAACTGACCCTGCGCTGTGGGTTCTCCTGAACCCCACACTCAAAGCTAATTTGGGGCAGGCATGTGGGGAAGGAGAGAAGAAAGCCCCTTGCGTGGCGGGATCCATTGCGATGGCTCCTGCCAACGCAACTATTTAGTCGAATCTGGCCCTGGGATTACGAAACGTCTCACCCGTTTTTTAGCTTCCTAAAATGGTCGGACCCCTTTTCTTATTCTGGGATGTTGGCAACAAGGGGGAGCCAGTGTGGTGCAGCGATTGGAGTGTCAGACTGGGACCTGGGTTTGTGTCCTCACTTAGCCGCGAAGTTCACTGGGGTGGCCTTGGGCCAGTCACTGCCTCTCAGCCTAGGCTACCTCGCTGGGCTGTTGTTGAGAGGATAAAACGTTGCGTTGATTTCCATATATATATAAAAAAAAACCCTTGCCTGAAATGGCTTAAAAATTGCTGCAAGGAGATTTGTTTTATCTTGAAATTTTCACCGGATATTTTTTGCGTTGCTTCTCCATTAATAAAACGTTTTCACGAGAGCTTACTATTACTCAGTACTTGCTTCTCTGATAAATAATGTGGATTTCCAGCATTTATCTGTTTCGCATTATAAGAATCTCCTCTAAAAATAAGAAGGTAACATTTCGTTGGAACAAATCTCATTGCAGCAATTTATCAGCCGCTGCTGCCGTGCGCCCGTTGTTTTCTTTTTTCTTTTTTGCAAACTCATACGTGCAGTTCCTGAGTTTAGCGGAAATATTCCATATATAAACACATTATTAGAATAAGCAGATTATTGTGGGAAGGGGGTTATTGGTTTGTTTTAGTTCGTGAGGCATTTTGTATTCTTATTTTGCATTTTTTTTTTTGCTGTGAATGGCAGTATACAAATATCAAGAATGCTTTTGAAACGTGGAGCACTTATAAACACCATCTCCAATTCCTTGAGAGATTCCATCAACGGTGTCTCCGAAAAATTTTACACATCACTTGGGAAGACAGGCAAACTAATGCCCAGTTCACTTGAAGAAGCAAAGATCACCAGTGTGGAAGCAATGATTCTTCAACATCAACTTGGTTGGACTGGTCATGTTGTGTGGATGCCTGATTTTCTTCTTCCAACTTAAAAATGGAAAGCGTAATGCTGGTGTTCAACAAAAGAGGTTAAAAGAGTCTCTCTAGGAAAATCTTTAAAAATGTAATATAAACACTGACAACTGGGAAACACTGGCCTGCGAGCGCTCCAACTGGAGAACATCCTTTACCAAAGGTGTTGTGGGTTTTGAAGACGCTCAAACCCAGGATGAAAGGGAGAAACGAGCTAAGAGGAAGGCACGTTTGGCAAACCCTCATCGTGATCAACTCCCACCCGGAAATCTATGTCCTCACTGTGGAAGGACATGTGGATACAGAATTGGCCTCCACAGTCACTTACAGACTCACTGTTAAGAAGAAGAGTTTGGAAGAGTTTGGATTTGCTATCCCGCCTTTCACTCCTTCAGGAGTCTCAAAGCGGCTAACAATCTCCTTTCCCTTCCTGCCCCACAACAAACACTCTGTGAGGTGAGGGGGGCTGAGAGACTTCAGAGAAGTGTGACTGGCCCAAGGTCACCCAGCAGCTGCATGTGGAGGAGCGGAGACGAGAACCCGGTTCCCCAGATTACAAGACTACCACGCTTAACCACTACACCCCACTGTGTTTATGGAAGACAATCTTATTTGGCTACGAATGATCGCCAAAGAAGAACACAAATATAAATATAAATATAAATATAAATATAATAAAAGGCACCCCTTGGATTTCTTAAATAAGTGCAGGGAGCCCAAGATGATGCCCTGTTCAGCCTTACCCAGTGAGGTGGCACCTCCACGACCCTCCTGGACAGTCTCTCTTTCTCTGGGACCCATCGGAGCCTTCACTGTGTCAGGGAAATCAGGAGCCACTTCTGAAAACAGACCCTTTACCAGAAACAGGGAATGTGGGGAAGGGTGACAAAAAGGGAGAGTCAAAAGGCTTTGGGACATTTTCAGTGCAGATTGGACAATTGCAGAGAGTGCCAGGATAGCCTCCTGCACGTTGGAAGCACCAGGATGAAACCCTCTCTCACCTGCTGCTCTTCCTGCTTCTTCTCCTCTGCCTGACTCAGGAGGAAACCTTCGGCCAGGGCCACCGCCTGGGAACTGGTCTCTGCTCCACATTCCCTGACCCAGTTCTCCATCTCTGGGGGGAGGACAGCCAGGAACTGCTCCAGGATCACTAAATCCAGGATCTGAGCCTTGGTGTGTCGCTCTGGCTTCAGCCACCGACGGCAAAGATGGTGGAGTCGGCTGCAAACCTCTCGGGGTCCCTCGGCCTCCTGGTAGCAGAAACGCCTGAAGAACTGGCGCTGAGCGTCTGAGCTGAGGACGACCTCCTTGCCCAGGATCTCCTGCGTGGTTCCTTCCCATAATCCCTCGCTGGCACCAGTCTGGATGGCACCAGGGCCTCTTCCTGCTTCACAGCCAGCTGATTCTGGATTCTCCATCTTCAATCTGTTTTCCAGGTAAACCGCTCTCTCCTCTCCTGCCAATTTCTCAAGGCAAAGCCAAGGGGCTGGCTGAAGGCACCGCTACCAAGTCCTGCAAAGCCAAGACATTGTCTTTTTTATAAAAATTGTTTAACCATTTTTTTTGATACAAACATCAACTGCAAAAGACACATATCATAATAACAATAATAACACAATTTGACAATTCAGATTTAAATACACTGATATATCTCCGACTACACCTTTTTTGAGGGTCGTGGGTGGCGCTGTGGGTTAAACCACACAGCCTAGGACTTGCTGATCAGAAGGTTGGGGGTTTGTATCCCCGCGACGGGGTGAGCTCCCGTTGCTCGTTCCCTGCTCCTGCCAACCTAGCAGTTCGAAAGCACGTCAAAGTGCAAGTAGATAAATAGGTACCGCTCCGGCGGGAAGGTAAACAGTGTTTCCATGCGCTGCTCTGGTTTGCCAGAAGCGGCTTAGTCATGCTGGCCACATGACCCGGAAGCTGTACGCTGGCTCCCTCAGCCAATAAAGCGAGATGAGCGCCACAACCCCAGAGTCGGTCACGACTGGACCTAATGGTCAGGGGTCCCTTTACACCTTTTTTAAACAATATTTTCACACCTCTCTCTCTGCTCCCACTTCCTACCACTATCCCCCTTATCGCTTAAATATTCGTTCCAGATTTCTTCATATTTATCCATTCTTATTTTGTGCCAAAACATTGTCATGTTAGAAAATTATGATGTCAGGGCTGGAAGATTTTCCTTGAAGAAATGTGGATAAATCTGGGTTAGCAACTAGTTCCCTCGCACCCTGAAGAAATGGCAGGGGAATGACAAGTTTGAAACTATATAGAAACTAGAGATTTGTGGGTGGAGTTCCTTTCCTTGAGGACTAGTGGATTGAAGCCTTCAATCTGGCTGAGTCAAAAGATGCAGGATCCCACCCCTCTGATCTCCCACTTACAACTCTTCCTCCTTTAGGCGCCCTCCTCTTTTCCAGCTTCCACCTTCCCTTTACCCCAAAACACCCCCAGACAGAGACTTTCTCCCCCAATCCGTGCCCTCTAACCTTTAAAGCCCAGATTCGCACAGGGACTTTTGCTTCCCATCAGCGTCTCCCGCCTTTGATCGACAGCTTCCCCCAGTTTTGCATTCCGGCCTCCCCACCGCGTGTCAGGGCTTGCACGTCTGAAACGGCGCGCGCGCGCTTCTCCAGTGGATGCGCGATTCGAAGGGGTGGGTAGGAGCACCCATTCGAATTTTGGCACAAACTACGCCGCGCTTCCGCCAATCAGCGCCGCGCTGCAGATTGACACGCCCTGCGCTCCCCCGCATCATGATGCGGGTGTTCTGTTCGTGTGAAAGGATGATCAGGTGCGCAAGCGGGGTGCAAATGGGGAGAGGAGGATCTTCCTTGCTCTTCTAGGGCTCTTCTCTTCTTTTCTATTCAGCCACAAATCCGGGCCTCTCTCCCCCCCTCGCAGGGGACTCCTAGCCCCCACCCCCACTTTTTCCTGCATTGCAGTTGCATCCTCCCGACTCCTCCCCACCTTAAGTCAAATTAATAGGTAGGGGGGCTCACCAGATCATAGAAGGGTCCGCGATGCCGAGCTGGGGAGACCCCGAGGCTGCATTCCTCCAAAGCAACAACCAGGCAGGAGTGGCTTTTAGCAGAAATACCCATTTGCTTTGTAGGTCTTCCTCCCCCTCCCCAAATCCCCATCCTCTCTAGGAATCCAGCTCAGATAATTTTAACCCTTGGCAGCTCAAGCTGTAGGATGATTTCTCTCTCTCTTAAAACAGGAGCCAAGGAAGAAACAAGCACTGTGAATGCAGATCCCACACCCCTTTTCTTTCGTGATAGTGGGTGGAAGGAGTGAAACCAATCTGGAGAAGAAGGAATAATAGAACCGCCTCTTTCCATATAAACCTACCCGAACCCTGACATCATCTTCCAAGGCCCTCCTTCCATGCGCCTCCTGAAGAGGTACGGAGAGTGGCAACACAAGAACAGGGCCTTCTCTGCAGTGGCTCCCCGTCTGCGGAAGGCTCTCCCCAGGGAAGTTTGCCTGGCACCTTCATTACACACCTTTAGGTGCCAGGCAAAAAGTTCCTTTTTAACCAGGCCTTTGATCTGATTTACATCCAATGCCCTTTTAAAATGTGGCTCTTTTGGGAGGGGGTTATTATTGGGTTATTGTTTTGATTTTGATTTTATATATTGCGATCTTTTCTGTGAACCACCCTGAGACCTCCGGTACATATATTCAATAAAATAATAATAATAATAATAATAATAATAATAATAATAATAGACTTGGATGGGACCTCAAGAGTCATCTAGTCCAACCCCCTGCCATGCAAGAATCTCAGCTGAAGCATCCATGACAAATGAGCTGTGATAGCTCAGTCAGTAGAGCATGGGAATCTCAGGGTTGTGGGTTCGAGCCCCACATTCGGTGAAATATTCCTGCATTGCAGGGGGTTGGACTAGATGACCCTCGGGGTACCTTCCAATTCTACCATTCTGATTCTACGAACCTCTGCTTGAAAACCTCCAAGGAAGGAGAGTCCACCACCTCTCAAAAAAGACACTTCCGCCATCGAACAGCTCTTACTAGATTTGTGTAGCGTTTGCTCCCTGGGTTTCTCTCCTCCCAAAGATAGCCTGCAAGGCAGTGGATCCGAATCAATGTTTTCCTTCACCTTCCCAGGTGGACGAGCCCCATCTGCCCCTCACTTCCCTCTACAGCACACGCATAAACCACCTTCGTGATTGTTGGACCCTCCGCCAGTGAGTCGAAGCCATTCCCAGGATTGTGGCCTCTGTCACCTGCTGACAGCTTGTAGGAGCCACAGGTCAGAGCTGAGTGCAGGGTGGGGACCAAAGGTGGACAAACGACCCCAGAAGGAGCACAACATGCCCCCCACCAGAGGGACTAAAGGTAAAGGTAAAGGTACCCCTGCCCGTACAGGCCAGTCTTGCCAGACTCTAGGGTTGTGCGCCCATCTCACTCAAGAGGCCGGGGGCCAGCGCTGTCCGGAGACACTTCCGGGTCACGTGGCCAGCGTGACAAGCTGCATCTGGCGAGCCAGCACAGCACACGGAAACACCGTTTACCTTCCCGCCAGTAAGCGGTCCCTATTTATCTACTTGCACCTGGGGGTGCTTTCGAACTGCTAGGTTGGCAGGCGCTGGGACCGAGCAACGGGAGCGCACCCCGCCGCGGGGATTCGAACCGCCGACCTGACGATCGGCAAGCCCTAGGTGCTGAGGCTTTTACCCACAGCGCCACCCGCGTCCCCCTCCCCAAACACCCAGGAATCACAGCTAAAAAAACAACAGCCTTCTCAGATGCCTATCCAACCTGTTTAGAAACCTCCTGGGTAGTCTTTTCTGCTGCCTAACAGCTCTTACGGCCAGAAAGTTCTTTCTCGTGTTTATATATTTAGATGGTTAGTTAGAATAATAGAATAGTAAGAGTTGGAAGGGACCCGAGGGTCATCTAGTCCACCCCCCTGCAATGCAGGAATCTCGGCTAAAGCATCCATGGCAGGTGGCCCTCCCACCTCTGCTGAATAACCTCCAAGGAAGGAGAGGCCACAACCTCCTGAGGCAGACTGTTCCACTGTCAAACAGCTCTGACTGTCAGAAAGTTTCCTCCTGATGCTTAGTCCGCTATAGTTTATCCCCTGTGGGAATCATAGAATCATAGAGTTGGAAGAGACCACAAGGGCCATCGAGTCCAACCCCCTGCCAAGCAGGAAACACCATCAGAGCACTCCTGACATATGGTTGTCAAGCCATAAAGACCTCCAAAGAAGGAGACTCCACCACACTCCTTGGCAGCAAATTCCACTGTCGAACAGCTCTTACTGTCAGGAAGTTCTTCCTCATGTTTAGGTGGAATCTTCTTTCTTGTAGTTTGGATCCATTGCTCCGTGTCCGCTTCTCTGGAGCAGCAGAAAACAGCCTTTCTCCCTCCTCTATGTGACATCCTTTTATATATTTGAACATGGCTATCATATCACCCCTTAACCTCCTCTTCTCCAGGCTAAACATGCCCAGCTCCCTTAGCCGTTCCTCATAAGGCATCGTTTCCAGGCCTTTGACCATTTTGGTTGCCCTCCTCTGGACACGTTCCAGTTTGTCAGTGTCCTTCTTGAACTGTGGTGCCCAGAACTGGACACAGTACTCCAGGTGAGGTCTGACCAGAGCAGAATACAGTGGCACTATTACTTCCCTTGAAATCTTCGATCGGAAATCTTCGATCGGAAGTACAGTGGCACCTCGGCTGTCAAACGCTTCGGAAGCTGAACGTTTCGGTTTCTGAACGCCAAAAACCCAGAAGCGAATGCTTCCATTTTCGAACGTGCCGCGGAACTCGAATGGCTTCCGAGGTGTGTTTATCCATTTTCTCAATGTAATTTGCCGACTACCCATTCCGCAACAGATTACCGCATTTTTCACTCTATAAGACGCACATTTTCCCCTCCCAAAAATTAAGGGGAAATGTGTGTGCATCTTATGGAGCGAATGCAGGCTCCTTGGCTTCAGCGATAGCAACGCGAAGCTTCCGAAGCGCAGTGGAAGCGCTCCTGCCGCGCTCCGGAGGCTTCACGTTGCTTTCGCTAAAGCCTGGAGAGCGAGAGGGGTTGGTGCGCACCAATCTTAAAAACACAATAAAACATCAAACCTTAAAAACTTTCCTAAACAGCATTGCCTTCAGATGTCTTCTAAAAGTCAGATAGTTATTTATTTCCTTGACATCTGATGGGAGGGCATTCCACAGGGCGGGCGCCACCACCGAGAAGGCCCTCTGCCTGGTTCCCTGTAACCTCACTTCTCACAGGGAGGGAACTGCCAGAAGGCCCTCAGAGCTGGACCGTAGCTGAACGATGGGAGTAGAGATGCTCCTTCAGATGTACTGGGCCAAGGCTGTTTACTGCTTTAAAGGTCAGCACCAACACTTTGAATTGTGCTTGGAAACTTACTGGATAAGACAGAGGGAGAATGGGGTGAAAGATCATGAATGGTGGAGTGAAACCAGTTTTTCCTCAGGCGTCCAGACCAACAAAAGTGGGAGGAAGAGAAGGGAGAAAATAAGCCAAACACTGTATTATAAAGGGTGTAAACTTGACTGGTGAGGAATCCCTACTGTTCTCCTGTGGCAACACCTGGAGCTTGAAACTCAAACCCTGAAGGTATTGGGCTGTGCAGCACTTTTGCACCCATCCGCCTCCTCTCAGAGCCCTGGGGTCAAAGGGACCCCAGCCCCAGAGGCCACTTCAGCTCCAACAAGAGCACACCCAGCTACCTCGTGGCAAAAGTTACTGTGTCCAGTTCTGGGCACCACAGTTCAAGGACACTGACAAACTGGAACGTGTCCAGAGGAGGGCAACCAAAATGGTCAAAGGCCTGGAAACGATGCCTTATGAGGAACGGCTAAGGGAGCTGGGCATATTTAGCCTGGAGGAGGTTAAGGGGTGATATGATAGCCATGTTCAAATATATAAAAGGATGTCACATAGAGGAGGGAGAAAGGTTGTTTTCTGCTGCTCCAGAGAAGCGGACACGGAGCAATGGATCCAAGCTACAAGAAAGAAGATTCCACCTAAACATTAGGAAGAACTTCCTGACAGTAAGAGCTGTTCGACAGTGGAATTTGCTGCCAAGGAGTGTGGTGGAGTCTCCTCCTTTGGAGGTCTTTAAGCAGAGGCTTGACAACCATATGTCAGGAGTGCTCTGATGGTGTTTCCTGCTTGGCAGGGGGTTGGACTCGATGGCCCTTGTGGTCTCTTCCAACTCTATGATTCTATGATTCTAAAATGGAAAGGGGCTGGTTTTGACCAGCAGGGAAACAGAACTTCCTGGGACTCTCAGCTTTCCCCTTTTTAAAAAAGCATCAAGTTACCAGCCCCTAAAGGAGGAGCAAACACTTGGAAGCGGGTGGACTGTAGCTGTGAAATGAGAGCAGAAGGTGCAGGAAAGAGAGCTCAGGCACTCAGGGAACTGGGAAACATTAACAGATTCTGCGAAACGCTGCTCTTTTTAGAGAAATACAGCTTGTGTGCGCTGATTTTTTTGGTAAGCATGGAGAACACACAGACCTGGCTGTTAACTTACAAAATTCTCAACACTAGTTCTCAGGGCACATCTTCTCCCTTGCGACGCTATTGAAACTCGGGGAAAGAGAACAAACACTGAGTTGTGAGGCGTTGTTTTTATAATCTATAAAACACCTAGATTGTAGTAAAAAACACACCAACAGAAGACAAAGGAAAAAGCTCCCAACTACAACATGAGATGTTTCAACTCTCGCTATGTTTTTTGATATTCGGGCTGCGCACGCAAATCTGTGTTTGTGTGGCCTTGGGGTTTTTTTTTATATTTGCACGTGTGCACCTTTAACATTTCTTCCTAACGCATTTACAAAAACAAATGGGATGTTAATCACAGAGTTTTGCAAGGCAAGAAACACTTAACGGAGAAAATCCACCACCAAGCCCGATATTTACAGTGAGACATGCACCTGTGTGCATACAAAAATATGCAATCAAACAGATTGAATTCCATTTGCAGCCTGGAAATAACTCTGTCAGGGGTCTCCATTTTTTTATGCCTTTAGGCACCTCTGGGATTTAGAGATAGGGGGAGCAGTGTTATCATCTAACAGCGGCTCTGGGGCACGTCGCCATTCAACAAAAGGCTTCCTTGCTCAAAATGAAAATCTCCAAGCCAGAAAAGGACCATCTCCAGCTTGCATGATTACTGAATGAGACACATTTCGTTTTAACAAACAGCCATTAAGTTAAAGGTCCCTTAGCTGCAAACCAACCCTTAAAATCACAGATCCAGCGCCGATCAACACCGCCACTGACAGAGACATTGCTTATAATACAGTGGTTGTTGCGGGGGGAGAGACCCCTATTATAATAATCTGGTTCCATACCTATCCATGTCTCAGATCCCCATTGTTTTGCTATGACAGTGCTGGCAAGCACCGGATCTGTGACTTTTGCGTGTGGGGAACATGGGCAGAGAGGAAGAAAGCACCCAGCTGCAGGTACATATAAAACACACACAGCAAGAGACCAACACCCACATTTAGACTCTGTGCATTTCTGTGGGGCAAAGAGCTAATCCAGTAGAATTAAAACCCATCCTCCTTGCCGCTTTTTATGCAGCTTCCTTTCTGTTGGTACAGGAAGTTGTATACTTCTTCTGCCTCATTATCTTTTTTGTATAAATTTTCATAATATGTTTTAAATTTTTGTATTATTACTTTTGGATCACCTATTATTTCCTCTCCTATTTTTATTCTATTTATTTGTCTTGGATTTTGCCTCTTTCTCAGTTGCCACGCCAGGTATTTTCCTGGTTTATTGGCAAACTCAAAATTATTTTGTTTCCACATTTCCACATTCCACTCCACTTCCAGTTCTATTTTGCACATATATTCTGTCTGTAGTAGCCTAATTTCTTTTTTAATTATATCATTATTTGGTTGTTTGATTTGCTCTTTTTTCCTTATTTCTTCCATTAATTTTGGTTTTTTTTCCTTTTCACTTTCCTTTTTTATTCTTATGCCTTGTTTTATGAAACATCCCCTGATCACTGCTTTACCAGCATCCCAGAGTGCCCTTACGTCATCAACTTGATTTTTATTCAATTCAAAGTATTCTTTTAATGCATTTTTAGCTAGAGACTGTGTTGATGGCTATGCTCTGTCTTCCTTTTTTGTCTTCCCCCTTTCCCCTCCTCCCAATACGCAGACACCTGAGCAGACATGGGAGCCTTGATTATATCATCCTCCAGATAGCAAGGCCCCCCAACATGTCCCAAAATCCATTGCCAGGAGGCAACGCATTTTGGAAATGCCCTTGGGTAGATCCTTTGGCCAGCGCCGACCACACATAGGAGCTTCAATGCTCCCACATGGAAGCATCAATACGTGCTCAGGAGAGGAAGGATGGATGGGGAGGGCAGAGGGGAGCAGCGGTGATTTCACATTTTGTATTAGAAAAGGAGCAAAGCTAAAAGAAAATGCTTCAGTTCCCTTGCTGTCATTGTTCAGGATAGGTACAGTATGTTGCTCCCTGCTTAGCGTTCATTTATACAGCGCATGTCCGATGTGGGTCCTCACAATCGAACTCCTGTTTCACGTGGGAGACAAGATTTTGCTGCATATTCAAATCGCTTCTGTGAGTTCTCTGATGATACGTGAGGTTTATCTTATTATTGTAGTTGTTTCCACACTCTAAACACTTATACGATTTCACCGCCGTGTGAGTTCTTTGATGCAAATTCAGGCCGGACCGTCTAGTGAAGGTTTTTCCACACTCGGGGCATTGATATGGCTTCTCGCCACTGTGACTTCTCTGATGCAGATTAAGGCTTGATCTTCTCGTGAAGCCGTTTCCACATTCCAAGCAGGTATACGGTTTCTGCCCTGTATGAGCTGTCTGGTGAGCAGAGAGGCCTATCTTCTGCGTGAAGCCCTTTCCACATTCCAAGCATTTGTACGGCTTCTCCCCAGTGTGAGTCCTTCGGTGAAAAGTGAGCCTGCTCTTCTCTTTAAAGCTCTTTCCGCATTCGAGGCACTGATATGGTTTCTCTCCTGTGTGGATTCTCTGATGAGAAGTTAGGGTGCATCGGTGACTGAAGCTCTTCCCGCATTCCATGCACTGATATGGCTTCTCCCCTGTGTGGATTCTCTGATGATAGGTGAGGCTCCCCTTATGGCTGAAGCTCTTTCCACACTCTAAGCACCGATATGGTTTCTCCCCTGTATGAGTTGTTTGATGAGCAGCGAGGCCTATCTTCCACGTAAAGCCCTTTCCACATTCCAGGCATTTATATGGTTTCTCCACCCTGTGGATTCTCTGGTGAGAAGTCAGGGTGCAACGTTGACTGAAGCTCTTCCCGCATTCCACACACTGATATGGTTTCTCCCCTGTGTGAGTCGTTTGATGATAAGTGAAACTTATCTTATGCGTGAAGCTCTTTCCACATTCCAGACACTCAAACGGTTTCTCCCCTGTGTGGATTCTCTGATGAGAAGTAAGGCTACAACGTTGGCTGAAGCTCTTTCCACATTCCACACACTGATACGGCTTCTCGCCCGTGTGGATTCTCTGGTGCAAAGTAAGGTTTGTGCTTCGAATGAAACTTTTCCCACATTCCAAGCACTGATATGGCTTCTCCCCTGTGTGGATTCTCTGATGCAAAGTGAGGTTTGAACTCCTGATGAAGCTCTTCCCGCATTCCAAGCACTGGTATGGTTTTTCCCCTGTATGAATTCTTTGGTGGAAAGTTAGGTGTATCTTCTGGCTGAAGCCCTTTCCACATTCCAAGCACTTATACGGCTTCTCCCCTGTATGAATTCTTTTATGAGTCGTAAGATACATCTTCTGACTGAATGTCTTTCCGCATTCTCTGCACTGATATGGTTTCTCCCCAGTGTGGATTTGGCAATGAGCTTCACATTCCAATTTCGGATACACACAGTATTTATCCTTTTCCGGTACTTTTTCTTCTTCTATGATCACAATTTCAGGGTAGCCACTGCCCTGAGTAGCAGAGGATATATTCCACCTGTTCTGATCTGCTTCAGTCTTCTTTCTCAGTTGTTCCTCATTTCTATGTGTGTCCCTTCCTGTCGACATCCAACATACATCTCCCGGATTCCTGGCTTCCCATCTGTGGCCTACAGTTGAGAAAGAACACCGGTTAGTACCCGAGTAAGACATGAAGCCTTAATAATAATAATAAATTTTATTTATACCCCACCCTCCCCAGCCAAGCCTCGGGGCGGCTAACACCAAGTATAAAAACAATTGATTAAAATGCAACTTAAAAACAAGATTAAAATACAACATTAAAATGCAGCCTCATTTCAGTAGAAACTCAAATCAAAAAACTTTTTGGGGATGAAAACGTCAAATCTCCACCAAAAGGCCAACTATCCAGACTGGTCCTACATGGGCCAGAAAAAAGCCAGGGAAGTCCCCAAATAGGAATTTCATCACAGAAGGAAAAAGGAAAAGAGGGGGAGGGAATCAAGTTGATTCCAAGCCAAAGGGCAGGCGGAATAACTCTGTCTTACAGGCCCTACGGAAAGAAATCAGATCCCGCAGGGCCCTGGTCTCATGAGACAGAGCGTTCCACCAGGCCAGAGCCAGTGTTGAGAAGGCCCTGGCTCTGGTTGAGGCTAATCTGACTTCCTTAGGGCTCGGGACCACTAGGGTGTTGCTATTTATGGACATTAAGGTCCTCCGTGGGGCATACCAGGAGAGGCGGTCCCATAGGTACGAGGGTCCTAGGCTGTGAAGGGCTTTAAAGGTCAAAAACCAGCACCTTAAATCTGACCCTGTACTCCACCGGGAGCCAGTGCAGCTGGAAAAGCACTGGGTGAATATGCTCCCGTGGCAGAGACCCCGTGAGGAGCCTCGCTGCAGCATTCTGTACCCGCTGGAGTTTCTGGGACAGCTTCAAGGGCAGCCCCGCATAGAGCGAATTACAGTAGTCAAGCCTGTATATATAAAAGCATTTATAAACCACTTCATATTTTCAAAAGATTCCAATTTAGATGGGCTGCCCGTCAGTTACACATTTTACCATCTCTTGACTGGCCTTAAGAAAGTCTTACTGAGAGAGGTGACAAGGCGATAATTCTCCTCCATGACATCCCTATGAAGAGCTCTCTGGTCAGGATCCAGGAGAGCCCACTCCTCCTCAGTGAAATACACAGACACAGCCTCAAAGGACCACGGACCCTGAAAGAGAAGGAAACATTTGTGTCTTGACAGAAATTAAGAGCGTCTGCTAGCAAAACCCAGAAGTCTCATCAGGGGAGAACGGCTGTGTATTATCCCACAGAAATTAAACCTTCTGAGGAAGCCTTCATCTCTCTCTCTCTTTTAACTTATACTTTTCAAGTTTATACATTTCACTAATTTTATAATCCTTTCCACATTTCAAAGCTTGACTTCCTTCTCCCTCTTTCTGCGGTTCCTTAAATTTATTTTTAATATCTTCTGCATATCCCAATTAACTTAATTTGCTCATTTATTAATCTACTTTAAATATATACTGCAGGTTATTACAATAATCCTGCCAATGTTCTTATCTGTTTGCAATTTATCTGTAAATGTTCAATAAACCATTTCCATTCTTTTATATAAAGAAGTTTGTTATCTTGATTTTTTATTCTTCCGGTAAGTTTTGCCATTTCCGCATATTCCTTAAGTTTTTGTATCCGTTCTTCCTTTGCTGGGACTTCTTTCCATATTGGGGGCGAGTAACATTCCTGCCGCTGTAGCAGCACAAATAAATAAATTTCTATACAGTTTAGGTCATTCTGTCTCTATAATTCCCAAAAGTAAAGCTTCTGGGTGGTTTTTTATTTTATTTTTTAAGAACGTTGTTTTAAACATCCTTTTCAATTCATTATAGATCACTGCCTTTCTCTTGGGCAGCTCTGACAGAAGCAAAGATGAGGAGAGAATTTCCATCCGGACCAGGGAGATGAGAAGGCTCCTCCTTCTCCCCAGTGATTCTTCCCTGATCCATACCTGATCGTTTGCAACAGCAACTGCTTCCCCTCCAGCGCGAGGAAGGGACGGCTGAGGGGGTCTTGCCAGCATCACCCTGTCACCTGTGAGAGACAAAGATAGTAGGGAAGACATCATCTCTCCAAGGTTTCAAGCTGGGGTCTTTCTGAGCCCTACCTGAAGACAGCCAAGATTGAACCGGAAACCTTCTGCAGGCAAAAGAGATGCTCTGCCGCTTGGGTGAAAACCCTTCTCAGTGGAATGACAACATCTACAGTGGTGAAACATTTGCACACTGCGGGGGTCAGGTTGGATTGCTATGAGGAATTATGAAAAATGGAGCACGCCATTGTGTCAGCGATGAAAGCATTGCTTTGACTGGGCTGGATTCATTGACAATGATTTCTGATCGAATCCCACAAGCCTCTGCACCTATGCCATTTTCTTTCTCTCTGCCTGACAGTCACATATAAGCATTCTTAAACACGGACTGGTTGCTTCACCAGGCATCCTGAGCCATAAAGATAGTAGGTTACTTTGATGTAGATTTGTTAATCTTTAGGTAGATCTTAAGGGCCAGGACGCGGGTGGCGCTGTGGGTTAAACCACAGAACCTAGGACTGGCTGATCAGAAGGTCGGCGGTTTGAATCCCCGCGACGGGGTGAGCTCCCGTTGCTCAGTCCCTGCTCCTGCCAACCTAGCAGTTCGAAAGCATGTCAAAGTGCAAGTAGATAAATAGGTACCGCTCCGGCGGGAAGGTAAACAGCCTTTCCGTTCGCTGCTCTGGTTCGCCAGAAGCGGCTTAGTCATGCTGGCCAAATGACCCGGAAGCTGTACGCCGGCTCCCTCGGCCAACAAAGCAAGATGAGCGCTGCAACCCCAGAGTCGGTCATGACTGGACCTAATGGTCAGGGGTCCCTTTACCTTTACCTTTACCTTTAAGGGCCAGGAAAAGAGTTCACAAGGAGATGGTAAATACTATTTTTCATTGCCATCCTTCATCTCCTGTTTACTGTTGTTTATGACCTCCGGGGGTACTAAATGCATTCCTCCTTTATTCCTATTTTATTTACTCTGAACCATGTATGCATGCTCAAATAGGAAATAGTTTCTTTGTAGTTAAAAGGATTTCTCTGATCTAACTTTGCCCCACGTGGGGATGTTTTTGAAATGCTCAGAGGACATCTGATTGGTTCTTACAAGCACTGTGTTATAAGTTCTTTTGTTAATAAAAGGGGCCTGGGCCAGGGTGTGACAGATTATTACTGGCACCTCCTCCCAGAGTCTTGCTGGTCAAGCCTCGTGTGTATTTTATTAATCAGGGTCCAATCCTTCCTTGCTTTGGGAACGCAACACACACCAGAAGTTTTGGGGAGAGAAAAAAAAAGATTTGCAAATGCCGCCGACCGAAATATGCATTTCCAACAGCTACAAGGATGGCGACCCGTCCTTGTATATAAGAAGTGTCCTGTGGACATGTAAAAATAATAATAATTCATGGACGTAATGAGGAATAGAATAGAATCACAGAATCGGAAGGGACCTCGAGGGTCACCCACGGAGGAACAATAATTATTATTCCTTCGGTTTATATCCCACCCTTCTTCCCCAAGAGAGCCATGGGTGGCAAACATGTCAATAAAAATATCATTTAAAACATTGCAAAGCTAGTTAAGAACAATCACATGCATTCTAAATAACTATCATCATCCGCTAAGGAAATGTTTTTCAACCTTGGTTCTGCCAAGATTGATGGACTACAACCCCCATCATTCCCAGCTATCTTAGATGGGCTGGTCAGGGTTGATGGGAGTTGTAGTCCAACATTTGGGGATCCAAGGTTGAAGACGACTGCACTAGGGAAAGGATCCAAAACGAGGTTCAAATGCAATAGAAGCCCTACAACCATTTACACAAACACAACCAGTAAAAGAGCTGAAGACACAACGTCTTACCGAGACAGGCGACGAGAAGATAATTCTCCTCCATGACTTCTCTGTGCAGAGCTCTCTGGTCAGAATCCAGCAGAGCCCATTCCTCTGCTGTGAAATACACTGCCACGTCCTCAAAATAAATTTGGGCCTGAAAAGAAAAGGAAAACATTGGCCCTTTCGCAGACAATGTCACAATTCTCTACTTGCAAAATCCAGAAGACTCAACAAGGAAAAGTGGCTGAAGTTTACAGCATGGTGGCGGGTGGGGTGCGGGTGGCACTGTGGTCTAAACCACAGAGCCTAGGGCTTGCTGATCAGAAGGTTGGTGGTTCGAATCCCTGTGACGGGGTGAGTTCCCGTTGCTCGGTCCCTGCTCCTGCCAACCAAGCAGTTCAAAAGCACGTCAAAGTGCAAGCAGATAAATAGGTACCGCTCCAGCGAGAAGGTAAACGGTGTTTCCGTGCGTGCTCTGGTTCGCCAGAAGCGGCTTAGTCATGCTGGCCACATGACCCGGAAGCTGTATGCCGGCTCCCTCGGCCAATAAAGCGAGATGAGCGCTGCAACCCCAGGGTCGGTCACGACTGGACCTAATGGTCAGGGGAGGGGTCCCCTTACCCTTTACCTTTACACCTTTTTAAACAATATTTTCACATCTCTCTCTCCTCCCACCACTATCTGCCTTATCACTTAAATATTCCTTCCAGATTTCTTCATATTTATCGATTCTTATTTTGCGCCCACACATTGTCTTGTTAGAAATTCAGTAGTGCAAATAGGTTTTGGTGGAAGTAATAACGGAATACTGAATGCTTGAGTTTGTATAAAATATGCAGAGATTTATGCTCTGCAAAATGAAGCACGGAAAGAGAAGAGAAGTCATTGATATTTCAAGCTTGTTTAAATGCATCTTTTAAATTGTAAAACAGAAAATTTAATAAAAAAGAGAGAGAGAGAGAGAGAGAGAGAGCGCGCAATGCTGTCTAGGGTTGTAAAGACTGCGGAGAGAATAATTGGGTGCACTCAGTGTTGCGATTTATGGGAATGGAGTTGAGAGACGACCTAACCTGGGGAGAAAACAGCAAACACCTGGTGAAGAGAGCACAGCAGAGGTTATATTTTCTGAGAATCCTCCGCAAAAACAATCTCTCAAAGGACCTGTTGATGGCATTCTACCATTGTACTGTGGAGAGTGTATTAACTTATGGTCTGTGTATGTGGTTTGGGAGCTGCACGGTCAGGGGAAAAACAATGCTGTCCAGGGTTGTAAAGACTGCGGAGAGAATAACTGGGTGCACTCTTCCCACTTGGATCAAATCTACACTTCTAGGTGTCATAAGAAAGCTGCAGAGATAGCACAGGACAGTACGCACCCCGGAAATGATCTCTTTCAGCTTCTGCCTTCTGGAAGAAGGTACAGGGTTATAAAGACTAGGACTAGCCGCCTGCGAAACAGTTTCTATCCAAATGCGATTTTGGTTTTAAAGGTAGTGTAAGGTAGTCTCTACGGGAGTATATTGTATTTAATTATGGGGTATCAGAGTTTTTAGGGAGCTAACCAGGCTGGGATAGCAGGCTTGTTGGTTTTTGAATGTCTGATGTAGATTTTTTCAATTTCATTGTTCTGTATGGGACAAGGACAATAAAGTTTATCGTATCAAGAAGTGGCTGGGTACTATCCTGCAGGATTTCTCGGGTGGCACTCACAGCCTCCTCAGTGGGCAGCCTAGAAAGAAGCGATGAGATTCCTGCATTGTGGGGAGGGGGTTGGACTAGATGACCACTGGGTCCCTTCCAACTCTAAGATGCTATGATTCTATAAGGAGGACAGAGAATTCTTCAGATGCAGGGAGGTGAGCAGAGGCACTAGGCTTCCTCTTGGCAGCCTTCCCGGGATGCTTCCACCTACCTGAAATGTCGCTTGTACAGGTTCTTCCGCTCCCCCATGAAGAAAAGACGCCCAAGGAGTTGTTGCTGGCATTATTCCACCACCTGTGTGAGAGAAAGGTGACGGGAGGCCATCAGAGCAGACGTTAATCTCAGAGGCTGCATGACAAATTTCTCTTTTCTTTTAATTTAATGCATTCTTTTGAAATTTCTAGGTCCGCGTTGACATCACAAAACGACACAGCCGTCCTATATATCTTGAACATCCCTTTGCATTATGCGGTTTAGTTGTGCAAAACTACAGCTCATCCCATTTTTCCTCTTGTGGAGAAATCCAAGGGGTCACAAAGGAACGCCTTTCTGAGCTGGGGAGAAGTCTGAAAACCAGCATGCTGTCGTGCCCCATTTCAGGAAAACATCAAATGCATCTCACAGATTTACGGTGGGGCGGCCCAACTTCTCATGGGCCGCAAGAGAACTCTGACGTAGAATAAGGGGGCCGCACACTTAATTAAATTTCCATATTGAAGATTGAAGCGTTCGCAGTAGATTTAATATTATACAGTCATACCTCATGTTACATCCGCTTCATGTTACGTTCTTTCAGATTACGTCCTGCGGCGACCCGGAAGTACCGGAAAGGGTTACAGAAGTGCAAAATGACGTCACGCGCATGTGAGGAAGCGGCGAATCGCAACCCGCGGGTTGAACTCTTTTCATGTTGCGAACAGGCCTCCGGAACAGATCCCGTTCGCAACCAGAGGTACCACTGTATATGTAATATTTAACACACAGTTAATAGATTTAATGGGTGGGACGCGGGTGGCGCCTAGGACTTGCCAATTGCATGGTCGGCGGTTCGAATCCCTGCGGCGGGGTGCGCTCCCGCTGCTCGGTCCCAGCGCCTGCCAACCTAGCAGTTCGAAAGCACCCCCAGGTGCAAGTAGATAAATAGGGACCGCTTACTGGCGGGAAGGTAAACGGCGTTTCCGTGTGCGGCTCTAGCTCGCCAGAGTAGCTTCGTCACGCTGGCCACGTGACCCGGAAGTGTCTCCGGACAGCGCTGGCTCCCGGCCTCTAGAGGAAGATGAGCGCACAACCCTAGAGCCTGTCAAGACTGGCCCGTACGGGCAGGGGTACCTTTACCTTTAATAGATTTACTAATTTAAAAAGTTTAATACGCAAATAAATTATGGGCTTTCGTTAACAGCGTGTGACACAAAAAATGAAATTTAAAGGCTTTAGGATGTTTTTTTTCATGAACGTTGATGAGACCCTGCCAAAAGAGGCCTCCCAGGCCAGACCCACCCTGATCAATAAAAAATGATCAATTTAAAACTTACCCAGCGAGGTGTCACCTAAGTCACTCTCTGGCACAGACTGCCTATGTAGGGGATTCTCTCTGGCGTCTGAGGGAAGCTTCTCTGCCCCGTGGAAATCTGTGGCCACTTCTGCAAACAGATCCTGGAGCTGAAACAGCAATGAACGGCGAGGATTATGAGGAAAGTAAGGACAGAGGCAAAGGTCTCTGTGGTTTGGCACATTCCTCCTTTCGGAATGAGTTCAGCAATTTTGCGCTCACCTGCTGCTCTGCCTGACTCAGGAGGAAACTTTTAGTCAAGGCCCCCATTTGGGAACTGGACTCTGCTCCACATTCTCTGACCCAGTTCTCCATCTCCGCTGAAGGACAGCCAGGAACTGCTCCAAAATCACCAGGTCCAGGATCTGTTTTTTCATGTGTTGCCCCGACTTGCAGACAGTGTATTAATCTGTTGAAACCAACATTACTAATGAAGGTGCGTTTTCGCTCTCGTTGGGAACATTTTTAACGGTTTCACGTGGATCAAAGTAACATCTCTTTGCTGCGTCCGAGTTCAGGTAGGCTGCTGCTGTATATGGAGGCTCCATTTCCCACACAACTGATCCCATTGCCCATTCGCTACATCCTTGCATCTCACTAACTAGGCCCCTTTGTCCATATCCTATTATTATACAGACACAATGTCCAGGCAGCGGTTCTCAGCCTGTGGGTCCCCAGATGTTGTTGGACTACAACTCCCCTCATCCCTGAGCTCTGGCCTTGCTAGCTAGGGGTGATGGGAGTTGTAGTTCAACAACATCTGGGGACCCACAGGTTGAGAAAGGCTGGTCTAGAGGAAAACCCAACACGCCTCCATCCACCTGTGCTTCAATATTATATTCAGGCACAACACAGGCTATTCAATTTAATTTTAAAATGTGTTTAAAAAATCAGGTTTAAAAAACAACCACCATCAAATCATAAAACACCAGCAACTGGTTGGTCACTGTGAGAACAGGATTCTGGACCAGATGGCACCATTGACCTTATCCTGCATTGTCCTTTTTATAGAACGCTAGCCCAATGGTTGCCATTAATTTGATTCTTGATTTTAGAATGAATTGGTTTTAGAATGAATTGATTGTGATTTTATGTAAACTGTGTTGCTTTTACTGCTGTTAGCCGCTCTGAGCCATAGCTGTCAACTTTTCCCTTTTCTTGCGAGGAATCCTATTCGGAATAAGGGAATGTCACTTTAAAAAAGGGAAAAGTTGCCAGCTATGCTCTGAGCCCGGCTTCGGCTGGGGAGGGTGGGATATAAATAAATTATTATTATTATTATTATTATTATTATTATTATTATTATTATTATTATGACCCACGGGTCTCTCCCATCTCTGCATTTCCATGACCGAAGGTCCCCTCCATGTGTCTCTTGCAAAGTCTGCAAGTGCCCCCCACCTCGCAGAAAAAAAGCAAAGGAAGGACCCTCTTCTCCTGGCTTTGCAGAGCGGAGGCAGGGAAGGCAAAGAAAGCCAGCGGCGCTCCCTGGGATCTCTAGCGGAGAAACGGATCTTACCCAGTAGATCCCGGGGCGAAAGGGGGCGAGGGTCTCGCTTTCTCCCAGTTGCACCCTAGCAATCGGCTGATACCCCGACCCAAAATTGCAACCCCATCCCAGGGAGGGGGGGGTCTCCTCGCATCTTCCTCCCTGCGACCCTGTGGACCCCCTCCAGCCCAATACACAAAGGGGTCGGGGGTGGGGTGTCTCACCGGATCTGGCCTCGGATGCAGCGCCGGGAGGGGGCACCGGGGGTGCAGATCAGCCGCTTCCCTCCACGTGAGGAGCCGGGCAGGAAAAGGACTGGGAGACGGGAGGGAAACTCCTCCCCCGATGGCTTTCCTCTCTAGCAACGGAAGCTCCGTTCATCTTAACCCTTGGAAAATCGAGCAGCAAAAAACACAGACAGACAAAAATCCCCTCTATTAGTATTAGGCAGAAACATGCACGGCAGACATTAACACGGGGGAAATGGAAAGGGAGCTGGCCGTCCAATCAGACTCTCCGGGTCCTGGGTTCGAATCCTGCATTTGCAGCGGGTTGGGCTAGATGACCGCTGGCGACCCCTTCCCACTCTGCCAGTCTGTGGTTCTGTGAAGTCGCATTTCCCCCTCCTTCTCTGGCGCAGAAATGATCAGAGCTCTTCGGAGAAACAAAGCGACATTTGGTGGGTGGGCTCGGGCTAGCTAGGAAGAGAAGGAGGCGGAGAGGAGGGGGACTTGATTTATTTGGGGCTGGGGGAGAGAAGAAAGGGACCAAAACAAACACACACCCCACACACTTTTGAGGCTTGGGGGTTTCTCCCTGCAGTTCAAACGCAAAGTGGGGCCCCAAGTGCATCTTGCGACCTCCTTGCAAGGCCCCCAAACTCTCTCTTCCCCCCTGTTTCTGCCGGACTATAGATGCCCCTCTACTGCTTTGATCGATGGAACTGCCACCGTTAGTGGTGCCACGTGGTACCTGTAAAAAAATCGGTCTTTTATTGGCGTGGCAGCAGCTAGACTTTGGAACTCGCTGCCTCTTGAATCCACAGGGATGGGGGTTCGATCTGGGGCGGGGAGGGTTCCTGGCATTTGCCTCCCGTGCGATGGAAATCAGCGGCAGGGGATAACTCAGGAGGAGGAGGAAAATGTGGCTTCCTTTCCCAGCTCTGCAATTTTTAGATTTGTGGAATAACCTTTAGAAGGCATCGGAAAGTAGCCCTGTGAAGGTTTCTTTTTTTAAAAAAATGTGCAATGTTATATTACGTGTTTTTTATATATAATATTTTTTCTTAGATTACAGTCCAATAATTGTTGTTTAGGCGAGTCCGACTCTTCGTGACCCCCTGGACCAGAGCACGCCAGGCACTCCTGTCTTCCCGGCATTTCGTCAAATTCATGTTGGAGTCCAATAATAGCCTCATTATAACAATGCCAAATTATAATACAATAACTAATACCAATTATTCAAATGGTTTGGTGGTTTTCTTTATTTCCGCGTTCCAAAATCTTATTAATTTCAGTTACGCACAGAGAAACGGAAGAAAACTTGGATGTAATTATCTAAGACACATGTCGAAAAAGAAACATAAAAGAATTAAATGATACAGACTTCCAACAGATTTATAGTCGTCAAAAAACCGAGCTGAAGAAGGCGTGTACTCCGAAACAGGGCCCTGTCCTGGTCACCACTAGTGAGTCGTACATCTGATTCACACTCCGGATACTCCTTTTTGGCCCTATTTGATCCTTTATTCTTTATTTTGATTTTATATAATATGGACTCTTTTTGACTGCTATTGAGACTTGTATAAAACAATTGTTGTGCACTGGTATTTCATGTACCTTTGTACTATATCACTGTATATTTGAAACTACATTATTTCTGTACTTAAACGTTGTATCCAAACTTACCATTACTTTAAAACTATTGTACTTACACGTTGTGTTTAAATTTACTACTAGCTTCAAACTGTTATTCTTAGCAGAATATACACGTTTTTCACTTCAACTCTTAAGTAGGAATTATTCCTTATATTGAAACTTTTGGCCAGAGTTCTTGATATATCCTTTTCAGTGCAGTTTCAACAAGAACTCCAATTTCTTTAACTCCTGTCTTCCCGGCATTTCGTCAAATTCATGTTGGAGTCCAATAATAGCCTCATTATAACAATGCCAAATTATAATACAATAACTAATACCAATTATTCAAATGGTTTGGTGGTTTTCTTTATTTCTGCGTTCCAAAATCTTATTAATTTCA